AATTCATCTACTGTGGTCACTAAATCAGCTGGAAATGCAAGTCTTCGTTCCATTCATCCCTCTGATCCTCATTGCCCTCTCCAACTTGATGCTGACATTGATTGGAATGCAGACACAGGCGCCACTTCTCATATGACACCTCATCGTCATTGGGTGCACCACTATACCCCATATTGTGTGCCAATCAAGCTGGCTGATCACACTGTTGTCTATTCAGCTGGTGTTGGTACTGTGGTGTTGAATCCTGTGATGAATGGCAAAGTGGCTAGGGCTGTGGAATTCTCTAGAGTGCTCCATGTACCAGATCTTCGAAATAATCTCCTCTCAGTCTTGTATTTAACTCGTCAAAGTGGTTTCAATGTCACTATTCCGTCTCATTCCATGTCCTTTATGCGTGACAACACTCTCTTGTTCACTGCAACTATCAATGACAACAATGCAGCATTCCTTGATGGATCTACTGCTGCTTGTGTTGAATTGGGACATTTTACTGCGACTATACCACTTGATTTGATGCTCTGGCATCGCAGATTGGCTCTCCACCATCATGCTGATGTCAAGAGACTGATACAGAGAGATCTGGTCACTGGGCTTACACTGGAATCCAAGGCTGCTCCTGATCCTGTCTGTGAACAGTGCTTGTCTGGCAAGATGCATGCCAATCCATTCCCCTCATCTGATACTCGCTCTGCTCATCCTTTGGACCTCATCCATTCTGATGTACACCAAGTCTCTTCCCCCACATTCTCTGGTTATCGCTACTGGGTCACCTTCATTGACGATCACAGTCGATTCCGTGTTGTTGTGCCTCTCAAGGCCAAGTCAGATGTCTTTGATGCTTTCAAGAGATTCAAGGCTTAGCTGAGACTCAATTGGAGCGTAAAATCAAGGCTCTGCGCGATGACAAAGGGGGAGAGTACATGTCCAAGGAATTTGAGCAATTCACAGATGACCATGGGATTGTCAGACAGCATACCACCAGGAATCGTCCTCAGCAGAATGGTGTGGCAGAGCGAGCAAACAGACTTCTGACTGAGCGTATCACTGCCATGTTATCAGAGTCTGCATTGCCTAACAGCTTCTGGGGTGAATGTCTGCCCGCTTTGGTGCATGTCTGGAACAGGTGTCCCACTGATGCAGTGGCCCATGCCACTCCATTTGAGTTGTGGTATGGATGCAAGCCTGACATGTCTCACCTTCGCGTTTGGGGCTGCACTGCCTATGTGCATGTGCAAAAGGACAAAAGAGGTGTTTTTGGCTCTCATATGGAGAAATGTGTGTTTATTGGTTACCCTGAGGGGTACAAGGGATGGAAATTCTACAATCCTACCACCAAGCGCACTGTTATCTCTGAGAGAGCTGATTTTGATGAGCGCTACTTCCCTGGCTTGAAGAGGTCTTCTGACAATGTCCCACCTCCACCTCCCACTCCACCTTCGCTATCCATGCCATTGGGCCTGATTGAGGATGTCCCTGCACCAGGTCCAGGGGGAGATATGGGCCCACCAGCTGCACTTCAGCAGCCTCAGACATTGCCTGACAATGGGCCTCATTTGGACCTTGATGCAAAACCACCTGTGAATCAACCTCCTGAGCTTCCAAATCACCCTCCTCATCGCTCACCTTCTCCTGACTTGTCTATTGCACTGAGACGCCCTGTAAGGGCTAGGAGACCACCTAGACCATGGTGGCTTCAACACAGACAACCTACTCCTGCCATTGAGAGTGATGACAGTGATTCTGAGGCAGTTAATGATGAAGTAGCACACTTTGGAGACTCTGCTGAGCCTAGGTCGTTTGCAGATGCAATGAAGCGTCCTGATGCAGATAAATGGAGAGAGGCAGCCATGGAAGAGCTTCAAGCTCATGAGCGCAATGGTACTTGGTCACTAGTGGAACTACCTCCTGGAGTCAAGGCTATTGGTGGCAAGTGGGTCTTCAAGATCAAGCGCAACTCAGATGGCACTGTTGAGCGCTACAAGGCCAGATATGTGGCCAAAGGTTATAACCAGCGCCCTGGCTTTGATTTCCTCGAAATATTTGCACCTACTGTCCACATATCATCCATCAGAGTTGTCCTTGCCATTGCAGCCATCCACAACCTCCATTTGCGCTCCATTGACATTTCCCATGCATTCCTGAATGGAGTCATGGATGTCAAGGTCTACATGCATCAGCCAGAGGGATTCCATCAGGGTCCTCGCAATCTTGTTTGCCAGTTGGACAAGTCCATCTATGGGACAAAGCAGGGAGGCAGAATGTGGAACCAGAAGATGCACACTGTGCTTGAAAAACTCGGATTCAAGCGTACTTATTCAGACTCTGCCATCTATGTCTTTAACAGAGCTGATGTGCGCATTATCCTGCCTGTCTTTGTTGATGACATGACACTGGCATCCACTTCTACTTCTGCACTTGACCAAGCTGTCAAGGACCTCTCCCTGCACTTTAAGCTTCGTGATCTTGGCCCTACTTCTTACCTACTTGGCATTTCCATCACTAGAGACCTAAGTAATCGCACCATCTCCCTCTCCCAACATCAGTACACTCTGGACATTCTGGAGCGCTTTGGCATGAAGGACTGCAAGCCTGTGTCCACTCCCATGGATCCTGGTTTGCGCCTCACCAAGGACATGTCTCCCAAAACATCCAGTGATGCTGCTTTGATGAAGGACATTCCCTACCTTGCTGCTGTTGGTGCTCTGATGTATCTGGCCACTACCACTCGTCCTGACATTGCCTACACTGTTGGAGTCCTTGCCAGATATAACTCTAATCCTGGTTTTACTCACTGGAGTGCTGTCAAGCACTTGTTCCGCTACTTGCAAGGCACCCTTGATCATTCCCTTGTCCTTGGTCCTGATCCCAATTCCACTGAACTCTTCACCACTTTCTCTGATGCTGATCATGGTGGTGACAAGGACTCTGGTCGTTCTACTGGTGCCTATATTGTCAAGATGGGATCTGGTGCTGTCTCCTGGAGCTCCAAGCTTCAGAACATTGTTGCTCTGTCCACCACTGAAGCAGAATACATTGCTGCTGTTGAGGCTGGCAAAGAGATTTGCTGGATGCGAAATTTGTTGAAGGAAATGGGCTATCCTATCACCTCTCCTTCCACCCTTCATATTGACAACCAATCTGCCATCTCTGTATCCAAGAACCCTGAGCACCATGGTCGGATGAAACACCTTGATCTGCGATGGCATTGGTTGAGAGATGTTGTTGACTCTGGGCAGATTGCTCCTACCTTTGTTCCCACTGCTGAAATGCCTGCAGACTTGTTGACCAAGGCTCTTGCCAAGCCTAAAGTGGAAGTGTTCAGGAAGATGATGGGACTTATTAGATCAGGGGGGAGCTGATGCTTGGGAGGTGCAGCATCAGGGGGGAGTGTTAGTTTTGGTGATTCTGCACCTTTGTGCTACCTATATATTTTCATTCCTTTCTCTATCTATTCTTCTATCATTCACTATTGATTGTGTTCTCTATTATTTCGCCTTTATGGCTGCTTTGTTTACCTTTGTTTACAAAACTTCGGACAGTACTGCAGAGTCCAATGCTTCCTATTCTCTAGTTACTCACATTGGACTCTAGGTACTGTATACCTGTCATACTCTCTAATAATATAGTTACTCACATTGGACTCTAGTTCCAGTCCCTGATTGCTCTCAGCAAGTGGCTAGACACTTCCTTCAAGCTTTGTTCTTAATAATATAAACCCCTGTATTTTACCTTGTAAAACAACAACAAGTACTCGATTCGAGACTTGGAAAAAAAAAAAAAAACAAGAACTCAATTCCAGACTTCTTCTCTAATTTCAAGTTCACTACTCTGCTACTTGTGATCCAGTGTGGTCACAACACTTCCCACTGCTACCACTGTCAACTGCTGTCATTGTCACTTCCCACTTTTGAAGTCATTGTCATCCCTTTCAATTAGAGTCCTTCTGAGCACTACAGTTTGTGCGTCAGGAGCCTGCTATCACTGGGAACCTCATCATATTGTCGTTCTCAAACCTACCTTGTGCTATGATTAGCAAGGTAGTGCTCATCTATACTGGTCACTAAGCCCCTATCTTCTATAAATTCAACTATCCCTCCTTCTCAAAACCCACACTCATACACCTCTGGGTTTTACTTTGAAGGATCTTTATGTGTACCACCCCACAAACAACCAGACCACTCCACTGTTCTAGGAGGCAAAGCCCATAAACAAGTTCCGTGGAATCTGGGAGGATTGTGTGTTAGTTTGTTTTTGTGTGTGGTTTTCTAACAGCAGTTCTCATCATCGACAACGGGGTCAAGTGATGATGTGCTTAGCTGCATTGAATTTATAGTCAACGTACACATACGTCTCAAAAGGTTCAATCTGTCCTTGGAACAACTGTTTTCAACCTATTGCTCACCCATATCAGTTGGATTTTGGGTAAATGCCTACCACAACCTCTTTTTCCAAGTAAGTCTTTTGAGCATGGCATATAGTTTATACTGACTTTTGATCTACAACTTGCCGCAGAAGAATCTGTCTTACAGGCAACAAACTGTGCAGCACTGCACAATATGTACCAATTTCTACTGTCACCAACTACCACACAAGCTTCATGCCTTGTAGATGTCCCCTGTCTACATAATGTGTTAGAATACCATCAACATCAAAAGGGACCCTACCCACCGGCAATCCTATCAATGTGCTGATGGCTCTATGAGCAGGGGTGTAATGTCCTTAGGGCCCTGATAGTTTACAACTCCCCACCTCCTTCAGTAGACTCTCTTGTCAACATTTCTGGATCAAATTGGCAAAGGGTGAGTGAATCTCCCAATGTTATTGGATTATACTGAAACATTTTTAAGTCTGGCTGCTATTACAGCATGCCACAGATCCACTACCACCCACTATATCCTCACCTTAAATATGATTTAGACAGCGAGCCTGGAGGGCATCAAGGTGACAAGTGCTCAAAATATTATGCACAATATGGTGAGCAGCGGTTGACTGGGGATATTATGTGTATGTGGTGTACACATAGTATCCGCTATGGTTTCCACTGTATTCCTCAAGGTGAAGGCAGAAATAATGTGTTCTCAGCAATTGTCACTCACTGGCCCAAGGCACCAAGAGTGGTAGTGTAACAACCAAGAGTTTGTTACTCTGGTGCACAACTAGAACCAACTATAGAGATAAATGATGAGGGAGCGGTTACCCTTTAAGCTTCAACAAGTTAGTTGTGAGGATACAACAGGAGGACTTGCTGAGGAGTCTCCTTGATCTATTGGGGTATATATACTACTACAGGTTATTTATACATGTTGTACTATACAGTAGATAAAGCAGTGGCTGATGATGTCAGAGGGCACAGCCCGTGTGACCAGCTCCACTGCATAAGAGACTTGTAGCTAAAACAAGAATAAAGGCAGTGCAGCGCAAGAAAGTAGAGTTTGAACAAAAGGGAAAGTGCTACATGGCACGGAGTGTGAGAACTACAGTAAAGGTTAAAGAGGAGAATGAAATTTAAAGGTCCGAAAATGTGTTATTGTAACAGGTAGTCTATGACTTTGCTTGTGCACTGGGGCCATACTGCCCAACTCGTGAGCCGGATTATTTTGCAGATACACTTTTTGTTGTGGACAGTTTCCATTCCAAAGGGCACACCAAGTGTGCACCAGCAGCTTTCCTTAGTACCTACGCTAATGTTGATCCACAACTAGCCCAAATAAACTCCAGTGCGGCGAAGTGTGGCAATAGTTCACTGAAACAAATCAAAAAATCAGTCAGCTACATGTCACAGGATCGGGCCATTATATACACAAAGGTTTTTCTATTGATTGGGAATTGTCTTAAAATATTAAAGTTTGCAGGGTTGGATAGGTAAATACATGTAGACTACATTGTTTCTCATTACTTTTGATGTCTGCTGATTGCATGCTAATCCAATAGGTTTAGATATTCCACATTTCATCATTTCTTTCTTTCGAATTATATCACTTCCTTTGTGGCCAATGAACATCACAGCCTGACTGCAAATGATTTACACAAACTGTATCACTTAATATGGCCCCCCCATCCTGTTTCATCTGAGCTGAGATCTTTTCATTGAACCACTTCATACCATGGTTTGCATATACTGTATGGGTTGTGTTTGAATAGTCTGTAGCAACCATAGTGATTCCTATGGTTGTAGAATCCCACATCCTACTGGGATGGTATTGTTCGACCATATGGCTCTCTATGGTTTGCACATACTGTATGGGTTGTGTTTGAATAGTCCATAGCAACCATATATACCCCTATGGTTGTGGAATCCCATATCAGGATTACTGATGGTCATAATTACTGTTGATCTCCCTTCATTTTGCTCAAGCCATATCACTGATATGGTTTCCATTAAACAAATCAAGTCAATTGTATAGTTTGGTCACACCATTTATCAAACTTGTTGCTATTTCTAGTTATTCCTGTTTAGGGCAAAAGTGTGATGTTTCACAACCGGTTGTGAAAGCACTTAGCATATTACCCTGTACGCATCTATCCTTCCCTGTCATCTGTTGGCTATCTGGCATTAGCCGCGGAGTTTGATTATGGCTGACTAAGCCTTTTATCCAATACCCAGAATTAACTTTGGCTCCGAGTCTGGAGAACGAGCTGGATAGTGGGCTGGACGCGACGTTGAGCATTTTGTTGTCAGTGGTTGACTGAACGATGACGCTGATGAGGTCACTGGTTGTGCGCAGTCACCGGTGCTGCCGCTGGTCCGCTCCGTCCTTCAAATTCATCTCGATATGACATCACCTCGAGACACTACTTATAACCCCTCTCCCCTCTTCCTCGCTCCATTTCCTGGTCTCCCCCCTCTGCGCTCTGGTTGTCTACTGTAACATCAATGGCGTCTATCTCCTCTCCATCAACGGGTGCCTCTAGGTTAACCAGAGAATCCTATGAACCAGACAACAAAATAAACCTACCAGCCCAACAAAACCAATTCCCATCGCCTGTACCAATCACTACCACCACCAATGTCAGCTCTCCGGGGCGTGAGCTTCCAGGAGCATTCCCACGTGAACTTGAGGCTGGATCTACAGTAAACGCTTCAAGGAACATCGGGAATGGAGGATCCAACGAACTCTGTGTCCCAATCGCAGGAACAGTGATCCATACCGCCAAGTTATATATGCCGAATCAGGTCGAGCGTGTCGTGAAAAGAACGGGTCAGACTGCAGCCCATTATTTGCCTATTCCTAGGGGAGTACAGGATACAGTATCTGCATACTGGAGTGAGTTGACGTCTCCTTTTGTTCTCCCCTGTGTTGCTGACTTGTCTTGCTCCTCTGTTTCGCATAATCTACCCTCAAACAATTACACAACTTGATACATGTGTAGCCGCAGGTGATACTCCAAAATCAGGCGACGCTTCAAGTTCGCCTCAGCCTCCAGTCTCCATGCTCGCAGTTCCAAATAATGAAGCTTCGCTTCCAAGTTCGGAAACTCGAGGTACTCAGCCTTCACAACCCCAATCTGGCGTAGGTGAACTTCCAGGTACAGCCGGCGAGGCAGGAGTGGCAGTTTTACCTGATGAGAGGAAAGAAATCCAAGCAAATGGCGGAGCCACGGCTAAGGTGCTGCTACGTTCTCGAAGTAATCGTAAAGCGGTGGATGAACCCCGAAAGCAGGGTAACGACACACCTCCTTCTCTACCCAGTTCAGAATCACCCGATACATCTGACCCTAAGACGTTTACGACGCATACAGGCGGCGTTGGGGCATTACCTGGAGGAAGAGATGAAGTTGGTGTCGCCGTTTTGCCTGACCAGCGTCAAGGAAATGATGTGGGCAATGATGGCCGAGGATTCAGACAGAACGTGGGTTTCATTGCAATTTATGTTCTTATATCAGGGCACGTTCCACTCCATGGCACGTTCGCCGTTTTGATGACATATTCTTCAACAAAACTGTATACGTTACCCTTATTGACATCTCTATCTATTTATCATGATTTTGTTTCGACTATCTAACTAATCCGAAATTTCTAACACTATAGGTGGATCAGCAGCCTGGACCGCGACGTGACCTCACAGGTGGAACGAAGAGTGTAGGTACGGGTGCAATTCAAGGAACAGACGCAGCCATTGCTGAACTTGCTGGATACGCTGGATTTAGAGGTACGAGTGACGAAATAAATGATAGGAGTGGGTTAGGTAGAAAATATACCGACCCTGAGGCGAGATCGGCGCGTGAAAAACCAATGGCGGATATGCAGCCCCTGCAGGATGAGGACGAGGACAAAGTGAGTCAAAACGCCCCGTTTTTTGACAGTTACTGCGCCGTTATGACAAACAATTTTTTCAGGTCCAAGGCGCCCTTGCGACAGGACAAACTCAAAAAAGAGCAGCAGAAGCAGGTACTGTTATAAGGGACGAGGTCAGAGAGAAGAATGGATTGAGCGAGAGTGGAAAAGAGGAGGGCGGAATGGAAGAAAAACAAAAGCAAAAGGACGAAGGCATGCAGGAGGAACCTCTCCCTTCAAGAGTACCGATAGAAGCATCTAGGGATCCTTTAAAGCCTTCTGAACCTCCAGAACAGCTCTCTGATCGGCCGTCTCAACCTCCTCAAGTTCAACCTCCTCACATACGAGCGCAACCTCCACAATCATTACTCAAGGAGATCCCACCCAGAGTACCGGGATCGCAAGGTTATCTGAAGAAAGCAGAGCCTGCAGCCGCTATTGCCTTTAGCAGCACTGGCGCTGGAGGGTTATCATTAGAAGGTAGAAGCCGTGAGTTACAAGGCCGAGGGGAACAAACGAAGGAGGAGAAGCCGATCAAAGCTGACCACAAGGACGAGACGGTGCCCAACCAAGGTAAACTCACCGCAAGGGAAGGTGTAACACATGATAACGGGAAAACGGTAAATAAGACATTCACCGGGGTAGGCGCTGGGGGAGCTTTGTTCGGAGCTGCAGCATTAACTGAAGAAGGTTTGTCACTCCTACATATTTTATGTGCTTCATGAGCAACATTACGGTTTGGCTACCCCTAGTTCATTTATCTGACTTGTTCACCCTCGCAGAAAAACAAAGGAAAATCTCCCACATTCAATCTGAAGATGCTGATCGTGAGAAACTGGGTGAATATCAGCGGGATCGCGAGAGGATGGGTCGCGAAGCGAGCGGGCAGGAAGGGATATTGAAGGCAAGCGGAATGGAAGAAAAGGTAAGGGACAAAGAAGTTGGAGGGGAGACAGGAGTCAAAAAGGTTAAGAAAGCGAGAGAAGAAGATAAGCAGGAGAGCAAAGAGAATAAGGAAAGTAAAGCCGGCTTTGATTTGGGAGCTGCACTTGGAAACGGGGCTGTGGGTGGCAAGGACTTTGCGGCACAAGGTAGTGCTATCCCTGGCAATGGTGTGGCACACGACGACATGCCCAAGAAAGAGCCTGGCGATGAGTCTGGCAAAGCTCACGAACACGGACAGGGTCGTTTTTTACCAGGCTACCAAACGAACTATCATCCTTCGGACTTACACCCGGCCAGTGGAGACGAAACAAAAGGCGCAGATAACGATACCGCACTGAAGTCACCGGGTGAAGGCTCTCATTTCGCAGGTGATAGCGAAGATGGAGATATTGCGAGCCATGAAGGAATGCGGGAGACGTCGATTGACCACGGCAAAGGTGATTCACAAGAGGTCGCATCCGCTGATAAAGGAGGGAAGAGAGTGAGTTTCCTGAAGAAGATGAAAGGCGAGGCAAAAATCATTGCTGGGAAAGTGAGCGGCAAGGAAGGGAAGGTTGAGGCCGGGAAGAGAGTTCTGCACGGGGAGGTGTGAGGCATCTACCGCGGTTTCTGACAGACATTTGAACACTGCCTTAGCTTTTCTTTCTGGGTTTTTTGTCTCTGCATCTATATAGGGGCACTAGCGCTCAAGGTTGGACACACGATAGACTTCAGTTGTATAAATATTGTGCATTCGTATTTTGTATTGTAGCTCACAAGTGTGGCATATCCACTGTATTTTTATTCTGTGTACCTTTCACCTGTGAATCAAAACAGTCCATTCCAACGTGTCAGTGCTCAGCCATGGTTGGGTCGTGTAGAAGATTTAAGAGACTAGAGCAGCAATTTCAATTATAAAACTAAACTAACATACGAGGTAAGTCTTGCCCTTGCGGACCTATTATGGATCAATATACACACAGTATTGTTCAGGTTAGGAAAATCAGGTTTCATAACTTCACATAGTTACCACTGATTATCCTCATCAAACACCAATGGAGCACATGCTGAAGGAACATCCAGCCCGAGTTGATACGAGGTTGAATCGGTTGGGAGATGTGTGATCACGCAATACAGCACAAGACACCAATGCATTGGAATGACAGTTCGACTCACTAAAGAAATGACAGTCAAGGATCGATAGGTTCATAGCCTCGACAGATGAAGCATGGAAATACTCCATTATTGTGAAAGGATCAAGCTGACCCAACAACATCGCGAATCAGGCCTTTGGGTTTTAGGTGTCGCTGCCTGGAGACACTGGACGAGAGACGGGGACACCCCGCTTCAGAGATCGAAGGTGCTCCTTGGTAACCTTCAGCTGCTCTCTGAGAAAATCGGCAGCGTCACAAGACTCCTTATGATTCTGTTTAGCTATTCCAACCAAGTGTATCATCTTCCTCAGATCGGCGTCGTAATTGTTCATGCTCTTCACATAATCCTTTTTCATCTACAACCAAAATCCCGCGCGTGCGACTTGTTCTCAGACTTTACACTTGTTCAGTTTGTGCTTAAACATAGCATCAATTCTTCGAGCTTCGCTAGGAGAAGCAGCACTCGACATGAACAGGGACGAGATGCACCGTGCCTACCGTTTGATGAGAATTGTCATTAATACTATAGCCAACGAAACGCCAGATAAATAAAGGCCACGGACTTTATGAAGTGAAGTGGAAGTAATGTTTTCTTTACATTGCAGCCTAGCATCCTCCCCTGCTAGGCCACGCTTTGGCCTTTTTAAATGGGGCTGTGGTCCCAAAGGTACCCTTTTAGAGGCTTCTGAAGAGTGAGACGGATATGTGGGTGAGAGTGGAGATTCATAAGAGGTAAGCACTTGGTCTATCATCGGATCAGAAGATCAGAGGATTTCCACGTTGTGGTCTAGCACAGATCTATCTAACGCGTCTGACTGCGTATTCGATAAGGACGACTTTGGGTCTGCCAAAAGAGACATAAGTCAAGTATACTTGTACTACCAGTATCTGCCAGTGAGTCGGCGGAACAACTTGAACAGTGGCAGTTAAGCTATATATGGCGGACTTTGAAACAGAAACCTCGAAATGGCTCACTGGCACAGTGCGGCAAGTCATCCGAGTTTCTCGACTATTGCCAGTGTTTTCATCAAGGAGGATATGTCCATTAACAGGCTTACACAGCCTATGGCTTTCCGCCATTCCGCAATGCTTATCTTCCTGACTTGTGGTACAAGGATCCGTTACGAATGGTGATGGAGAGTTCGTAATCGAGGACCTCGCGTTCTTTGGTTTGACATGAGAGAAAGGTTCGTAATGGCCGAGAATAGTTACATTGATGCTGAGTAGATTGTTGTCGAAATTTGAAGATTTAAATCATTATAGCCTGTTGCAGTACTGGCCAAGCAATACCCAATAACGTCGTCTTTTACCTCCTGGATTAAATGTCAAGTAAGTAGCCAGAGGCCCCCCTGTAGTTGCTATTATTCTCACTTCTAACACACTCAGCAGCCTGTCAAACGAAGTACAACAATAGCCTACTGTGCAGACTCGATCTCCCAAATTCATTCCGCTTTTTTCTCGCTTACCGATCAAATAGCGCTGAATATCCACTTTGGGGGAAATCTACAGTACGAATAAGCCCCAGCCGATTCGCTATTCATCGTGACTGTATCAAGCTTGTTATATCCTGCTGATCCTCTACTTGCTAGCAGTTTTTTCTATCTATCATGATCGGACATCCGAGGTAGGTTGTCTGCAAAGGGGATGCAAACTCTCATGAAGAACCTTGTGGAGAAATGCTATATCGATCAGAAGTTCAATCTTAGGTCACTATTTCCTCAACGTAGCCGGTTAGCGAATACTTGTGTTTAGTGCTGTCCAGCGGTGTCTCTGACTATCCTGGGCAGCTCTTTGTTTGGGTTCGCGTTTCACCTCTGATTCTATTGTTGTCAACTCAGAATGAAATTAGATGATCAGGCCCTACATTTCCATAACCGGGAAAGAGAAGTACACCCTCTCATTGTGCCTTAAATCTTTGTCGCCAACTCTTGATAACACTAGTCTAAGTTCCGTTTGGAAGTCAAGGTAGGGCGCTGTAAAAAATATTTCATCTTTCTCGTTACACCTCCGTGTGTCATTTCTATTGTGTGCTGAGTATCCAATGCCATCTCTCTTATTTGACTGGTATTTTCAGCCTATCCCGCCTTTCGCATATCAGTTGAGGTAAGTGTTACCGTTGGAAATACTTATCCAGCGACAGGCGGAACAACCGTAGCCATCCTTCATGTCGACCAACATGGACACCATGCATGTGAGTCGTGACTTTGGTTTGCAGGTCACTGCTCACGCTAAAATTGTGCATGAGATAATCCTATGCAGGAATACAGATGCTATCCTCTAGAAAGAATCCAATGCTCCAGCCATGGGTTAGGTGCCTTGTATTATTTCTCGAATCGGATTAGTTCCTCTGTTTTCAAGTTATGCTTGGCATTTATTTATCCTGATGGTTTACCGCGGAGCCAATCGTACCAATAGCTACTTTGCGATTGGTCTATATCCTGGTGGATTTATTTTTTCTGCGTGGTCATTCCTCGTGAGCTGTCACTTTAGTCATGACTCTGTTCTCACTTCGTTTACTGATTTTTGTCTCCGCATCGGTACCAGTTTAACATCGTCTTGACAAGCGCACGCCCGCTATGAATGTCCTTAACGGCTTTTACCACCAGTATATTGATGAACAATCTGACTTACCTGAGATCGGTCCGCTTCGATATGTGAACCTCTCCTTTTTTTGGACTCATCTCTCCTGAGATTGATTATATGATACAGTTTCTAGTGAGCCATGCGGTGTCCTTTAGTGCTGTGATGCCCTTCGCTGCCTGAGGCTCACCGCGATGAAAATGGCTGATGTGAATTTGTCCCCGAATGTAATGTGGTCATCGTCTTTTCATACGAAGATGATACGTATTACAATAATCTGCACTCACAGGTGATGAAAATGGCACACTCTAGATATTCTACGAGCCACAGACAAAGGTCTTCAACTCGTGAAACTTAATGGTTCCCCAGAACACGATGAGGGCCGCCATGTACACGGTAATGTCCTTGATATCTTCCTCCTTCCGTCGTACTGTGAAATCAGCCTACGATGCCTTTGCAAAACTACCCTAATCGTGGAAGCCACAGAGCACTTGTAGACTCGTATTTTCACTCTGTCGGTGCTACTTTGTATGTGGACTTCTCGTCCTGGAGTTGAGGACGAAGGAAAAATTTGGACCTCGTTCTATGCAGAGTGCTTGGGGAAAGGTGTATTAAGATTAAACTTCTGCAATGCCCCAGATTGTGAGCTTCCAATTAATGTATAACAATTCACGAGCAACGCAGGAAAAGTGTTGAGGATACCGATGGGTCGTGTAGATGGACCACGTTCCGAAACCTGAACCGCCTACCCGAGTACAATGTGCTCACATAGTCTGAAGACGCAGAGATACCAGTAGGCGCTATTAACCGAGCCGTCCAGGTGACCGTCATCGCGTGCTCTCATAGGCTGAAGATGCGGTACGAATGCCGTAGTGTCTTGAAAAAATCACGTACTTATCGACACGGTAGCGCCGTTAATTTGTCGAGCGGACGATCCGTATCAGGGTCAAACTACCTACATTGCGCAGCAGCGTGTGTACCCAGATTGGATGAGCAAACAGATAGAATTCCCACCAGAAGGATACTTGACCTGTTTGTTCTGTTCAGCCTGTAAATGTCTATGCGAAACGTTCACCAACTCAATGGCTTACCTTAGTCAATTGGCGCAAAACTCGTCCAAGTCTGGATATTCCAACCTATCGTTCCGAGCTGGATTCGAGCGTTGACGCACGAATGTCGGTCTAGCCATAATTTCTCGCTCAACTCGAGGTTAGGTCCACCATCCGACTCGCACACGATCGTAATAATCATCTCTCGTGACTGCCCTCGAGGTAACCTTAAGGCCAACATGAGGCCCAAAATTTTCCAAACTCCTCATTGATCCGCCCCCGTTGTCGCCGCTCGATCTATAAGGTCGGGGGGCAGCAATGATACAACCCAAGCCACTTGAACTGGAACCCGTTACTTTGTATACTTGCGTCAATCTTGTCTGTGAAAATGGCATTATACGACGTTCATCCTGTTGACCTTCCTATACAATTGCCGGTGAGTACTGGGTCATTGGTCATTGGGTCTGGGGATTCATGCCTTTTTCAGTCGTCTATATCACAACTGCTTGTAACCAATGTGGTTCCTTCGGAAGTCCAAATGCGCGAAATGAGGGGTCTAGTCTGCACTTTTGAACAGCATCGCATTACGCTCAAGCGTGAAATCCTCCGTGTACAAGGCATTTTGGCAGAAATGCAGAAAAGTCAGGCCGAAGTAGAAAACTTGATATCAAGTCTGGAAGCCGGCCTTGATTCTCCTATCAGGAGGTTGCCTCCCGAGATGTTATCCAAGATATTTGAGCACTGCCTTCCTCTTGAAGAGAAGTCACAAGTGTCTACGAACGAGCCTTCTATTTCTCATGCACCTCTACTTTTGGGTAGAGTTTGTAGTACTTGGCGTGCGATATCACTTTCAACGCCTCGCTTATGGTCTTTTCTCAAACTCGTGGTCCCGTGTATCTGCACAGATGCTGTTGTTGATAAACAGAGACAAATTATGTCAACATGGCTCCAGCGCTCAGGCTCCGTTCCTATGTCGCTTCGGTTCATCCATCAAGGATATAGCACATCCAATCTATCCTCGATCTACGACACGGTGATATCCTATGCTTCTCGTTGGCGAATTTTGGACTTCTTAGTACGCGATAAGAGCGCCATTGATACTTTGTTTCCCATCTTTGAGGCTAGTTTCTCTTCGCTTGAGTACTTGAATGTACATAGCGACTTGAACAAGTCAGATGGCGAGGGTCATTCTACCATTCCATCCGCCATCGTCAACCTAAGCAGTACTTCTCTACGCCGTCTAGCCCTGTCCTGGAACTCAATGGACATGAGCAAGATCCACGTTCCATGGTGCGGTATTACCCATCTATCGCTCATGGATGTGCGTCGCGGTGCATGGAGTCCTCCTGTCTTTGCATATTTAGACATTTTATGTCAATGCCCAAATCTTATAGAATGCGTACTCGGAATTGGTGCAGTTGAACAACGATCTCCATATGTGTTTGTCGATCTGCCCCGAATGGAAAGATTGCAGCTGCGCACCCTAGAGTCTTGTACTCAGACGAGACGGATGGAAATGTTGTTTGAAGCGATCAATGCGCCTAATCTGAAAGAGTTTACCCTTGAAGAAACCCACTCGGACAACCCAGCCTCATACATCGCAGAGTTGACTTCGTTTCTTAAGCGGTCTCAGTGGTTGAAGAAGCTGAGCCTTCGATCTGTTTGGGTCAGACAGGAGGAATTTGAGCAGTTGTTGTCTGCAGCTGCTTCCATTACTCATTTTTCGTTCCACTCATGTCATGTCTGTCTTCCCCTCGATATAATCGATTCAATGACGCCTCGAATATCCTCTGATGGACGTGCCACGTGCTTGGCCCCTGTTCTGGAGAGTCTGGATCTGGAATGGGACAACGCGGACGTCCTAGAGAGCATAATCTTGATGATGGAGTTAAGGCAGAGGAATAATACTCAAGGACGCGGAGTCGCGCAATTGAGGCAAGCTGGGTGCAGGCCTAGTCAGCTCATTCAGTGCAGGACCCTTGGGATGCAGGTTAGAGATAGGTTACTTGCTTTAGGGGGAAGGCTTCAACGGTGCTATGAGCTTGGGCTAGTGAGGCTAGACATTCATTGATATCGATTTTTGTGGTTCTATATGTTCATTGCCTTTCTTTGTTGTCGGTTCAACGGTGCTATTTAGTATATTTCTATAGGGCTATAAGACTTCTGCAATTGGTCGCGACTAAATCAAGTAGTTTAAATTTTATTGAAAGCGTGACTTGAATGAAGCCTGGGAACCTTTTAGCGCCGCTTAGGTTCATTTTCGATTTTGAGTGAATGCCAGTGGGTTCAGTTATTGGCCCGGTTTACACCTACTCATTTTCTTTCAACTTGAGGCTACCTTCTTATACAAGTGTTTAAACCAACGAAGTGCATCGTATTGAATTCCCTTTTCTTTTTCTTTTTGCTTGTCCCGTAGTAATACTGGTCTGTCAAACATTTCTCCCATGGAGCCGCGGCGGATTGCATACTTTTACTAGTGGACCCTCTTTAGCTTCGTATCCATCACCCCAAGTATATGTACTGGTTGGAGGGCGCAGGATGTTCCACAACAAGTCTCATTGCAGCCGGCATGGTATTGCCTCTTCATCTACCCGTGCGCCCAGCAACCAGCCTTATGGTCATGCCGCTCACTTGGCACTCATAGCAGCGATGTCCTCTGGAGGACCGTGGAAAGCATTCGACAAGATGCAGATTGTTTGATCGTTCTGGGATTCGCTTTGTGCTACAGGTTACCATTCATGCAATCACGTATTGCGCGGTACATGGGAGAGGCTTATTTCTAGAGTGGTTTTTAGTCTGGAGGTGCTCAAGTTGATTGAAAGTGACAAAAAGCTAAATTGCTCGCAGTATGGGCTTGACTTGTGTTCCATCTCGAGGCCTTTCGTCCCCCCATGTTCATAACTGTTCATAGCCGCTCGGACACCTCCTTTACTTGTTGATGCCGGTGCTCTCTTCCAGATAGTTCGTGCACATCCGTGGAGATAGGATACAAGATGGTCGTTATGGCGAGCATAAGGTGAGTTTGGGACAATCAGTTACCCGGCGTCGTGCGCTTTGAGCTCTTCGTTGCCTTGTCAAATTCAGTCTATATCGAGCTGCGTTTGCGGAGGAACATTCCAACGGAACACGTTTGTTACTGGTGCAGGTTGATTATCGTTCGATCCCCAACATGTACACTTATGAGGCCACCGGTGCTTACACTTTGTCAAACAATTGCCATTCGAGTTGAAGTTACCCTGGTGCTCACTTTTGCTCATTTTTTCCCAGAATCACCCTGGTTCAAGTATTATCACGATGTATTAATAGATCACACCTATTTCTCTCGATTATCAGATTGGACACTAAATCAAGTACCACACCACACAGTATGGTTGAGATGCGGGATTCTACACATAAATCCGAATGATACTAGCCCAATAGTTCACCTGACGAGTTCATCTTCGTGTTCTCAGCCCCCGGTATATCGCGTTATTGCATGTGAGCTTAACTTCCTCTTCGTCTGTTTTGGTATAGAACTCACTGAGGTTTGGAATAGTAATAAATATTTCCTGTTTCATGATGGCATACCTCATGTTTTCTCAGGTTGTACTTTGCTAGTTGGCTGTGCAAGAATACCACCGTGACTAACTGATACTACGTACACATTACACACTTCATGTGAGTGTATTACTCGATTGTTTCTGGACGATTGAGAGATAAGGCTTCAAACGATACAGTCAGCGGTAAATACATTCATCGGTTCCGCATCCTTCGTTATCAATCTATATCAAATTCTTTTTTTTTAGTGGAGGGTTACCTTCGATAGTCAAGCCGCGTCAATTGACTCAGTAGTGCGGGTCTATAATTGGCATTTCGTGTGAAGGTTAGCACAGATTGACAATTTATGATCTTTTCATTGGTGGACCATTTCAAGTGTGGCGTTGAAATCAGTTTATATTAGGATCTTTTGCTTGATAATACGGAAGGTACGACCTTTGATACCGCAGGATATGGGAGGGCAATTGCGAACAGAATGTGTGGACGCCGCTGCAATTGGGAATTGTTTCTTTGGTTTCCCCAATCCCGTGTAGTTTTCACCACACTCGCCTTGAGAGTGACAACATGTCAGCTTATTGTAATCATCCTTTCCACTTGCCTTTTGCTGACGACAGTGAATTCCCAGAATTGTCTTGAAGGGTGAAACGGTTATGTGATGAGACGAAACTTCTTCTGTATATTTGTTTATGTATCGACATCAAGTCCTCCGCGGGCAGTACATTCCTCAGCAAGTCGGACCCTGCGACTGCTTGCTTCGTGTGGGGTGTTAAGGAGTATTTGCAAATGCTTCTCCCAAAGCATGCGGGCCCAAACTCAAATGTCCGTCTTCGAATCCCGTATGTCCCAAGCATGCCTCGATCAATCGTCCACGTGAGCGGATCATTATCCAGCGGAACGCCGTATGCTGGAATACAAGCCCTGGATAGTGGATATCTGTCCATCAAAGTATGCCATCGACAAACATTGCAGGCGGGGTTACATATCGCTGTTTTCGTCATACACAGTTTACCTCACCCTCCGGATGGATGATCGTCACCGGATTACAACTGTATACTGCGTCTACAACCTTGCTTGACAGTGACATTGGGCAGGTGACAGTCATAAGGTACGATGGGAATGGAAGCTAAGTGTCAGTGTTCCAAAAGGGATAATCTTCTACTGCCATCACGTGGATAGAATATGCTGAATTCTCAAAATTTGAACTAGTTGGTACTACCAGGGAAACGTCCCAAATAATTATGGTAAAGTATGCTAGTTTGGATACGAAGATGTTGGAACTATATTGTGCGTCGTTTTTTCTTAATGGGTCACTCTAAATGGTTGTTCTCTTGTCTAGTGGCTCTTGAGACATCTCAGCTGGTACGGTCTTCAGCATTCGGGTCAGGATATCGACCTCGAATCACTTATGATACAACCACCCAGAAAACACATTTCATACCACCCTTCATGTTCAATTAGACTAATCACAACGCCATTGATAGATACAGATTCTGGGCGTGCTGCATTATGGTGGAAACCCTGTATTGTTTACATGCTGGACTGCATCTGGATACACAGTCGGGTGGTTGTGCGCAGGGGCTCTGATATATGTTTAAATGACAATCATCCTAGATGTCACGAGGAGCGAAGCCCGAAGACGAAGTCTTAGCGCAGTAAGCTGGGACGTTTGGAGGCATCATGGTGATAGGCAAGTGATAGGCATATTGTTAGTGGCTTGAGCAGACGTAAGCAATATCACACATTTTAAATCTAATCACAGACCACCCTGTGCGCCGATCAACAAGCTCATCATTATTTGTCGACGAAACCTTTTATTTTTGTTTATTGGGGACCATCTATCATAGGCATCTTCATACCTGCATATCTTACAATTCAGTATGGGACGAGTCCACTCATAATCGACTGCGCTCATGCAATGTAAAATCATTTCCATTTTCCGCGTTGCTCATTCTGTGATCTTCCTACTTTGTCGTTATCTATCTCCTTCGTTCTAACAAGACCAACTAGTAGAACATCTTCAAACATCCTGAACACCTGCGAAGATATACCGATATCTATCAAGGACGAGCGGTGCACAAGAAAACGCATCAAAAGATATCCCCCGTCTTTCCCACAAGTCAGTGCCTGGTCGACTGACCTCGAGAAGTTTATAGCATGACAGAGCAAGAGTTGGTGATCTGAGAACCCACAGTATAGGAGTCACTAAGGGGTTTTCATGCTACTGACTTTTGATTTCCTGAACCCAGTCCCACCGTACATACAAGTCTTGCTAGCCCACATCTATAGCGTCCGATCCGTCTTATGGTAATATAGCAACTCGTGATGAACAGGATAATACAATACGCCCACCGGAACATATCCTCCCCACATTTTGTTGCTTTTAAAGGACCTGATGCGCCTAGGCCTTCGTATTAGTCCATGTACGCGAAGCTTTGGTTCTAGAGTACGACCAGCGCGAGATCAAGAGCCCCGCTCGGAAAAAGTATAGCCTGATCATTATAAAATTATTGCGGGGAAACTGCATTGCATTATAGTACTAGTCATGCACACGATGCGTCGAACACGGTATAATCCTGGTGAAAGATTAGCGTTTCGAACAGGATGGTTGCAGGGCCATCCCACAGAATTCTGCGCACTCACGGCACTATACGCAAAGTTCCAGACCAAGGAAGTAATTTGGGCACTCTGGGATATGGAAAATAACATGGTGCACTTCGTACAAAACGCAACTCGACTTATACAATGGGAGGAGGGTGCGTATTGGTCTCAAAAATGTGTTCATAGACATGTCGGGGAGAACCTCATTCTGTTGAGTTGGTAATTCCTGAATTGGATATCTTCCGAGTTTGGCCGCTTCATCCTCGGAGTGCTAAAGTACAGCTTATAATGTTCATCCCGAGAGTGCTCGCGAACCTCCAATGCCAATGGGGTTAACGTCCAGAGCTTCCGGGTCTGCGCCGTGGTTCACGGGAACGAAAACAGTATTTGTCAATCAACTGAAGCTTATCCGTCCTTCGTTTCGTCAGTTTTCAATGGGGAAACAATCAGGACAATAGCATTTTTGTCAACTCACGGCTGTGCATGTGGGGTAACGCTCTGTCAAAGGTCTTCTTTATAGCTGCCCTGGATAATCCACCTTGAATTTCGCCACGTGAGACCTACTTTATCCAGAGAAAGGCTACTCGCAGACTTGGAGACAACATTCAATAAGTTCCCCAATCCTCAAAGGTCTTGATTTAACGATGAGAAGTAAGACGCAAGGTGGGAATTATAGCGAAAGCACCTCGTAATCCCCGTTTGAGAAAAACACAATCAGGCTCGCCTCGAGGCATCTTGAATATATATCCCCAAACTCCCGCACGAAGTTGAACGATGTTGGGAGACGAAAACCTAGATATTTGTATTGGTGGATTGATCCGAGTGACTCACAATTATGGGCGGCTCGTCCGTTCCCTATCTACATTTCTCTCGGAGACTTTGTAATGGGGTTCCTGGGTCCCCACACGTAGCACTCTGGCGTGTGCGGGAAGAGGACAGCGACGGGTAGCTCTTGTTTACCGACTTGGTGCGCTTGCTCAGCGCCTTAACTTGCCTTTAATTCTCCGACAAGGGATCACAGGGACGGATGATGGAAAACAAAACCTGCCGCCGCTATCATACGTAAACCATATGTCTAGTCTTCCAAATGATACCCACGGTAGCTTTGTACAAAGCTTGAGGGTGTGAGCGCTGAGAGATCCGCCTATCTAACTTATCAGATATGTGTCTTGGATGTTGTTTGATCAGATAAGTAGATACCTGCGCAATTCCTCTAGATTTTGACTTTGGTATGTTTGGCGGGAGATAAAGGGATGAGATGAAACGGTGTGTATACATCGTTTGCAAAAGGATACTGCATATAGAATACCTAGATTTAATTTGACATGCATGCAACTCACTTGGAGTGATGCTCCGAGTTGATCGCATAAGGAATTAGTAAATGGCGCACGACAGTCATTCCCACCTTCAAATTCCCCTCTCACCATCAACTTCTCGCAGCTTCGTGAAAAAAGAAAGTGTAATGTAATGAATGGCATACGAAGGTTCCAGGGGCCACCATCTGCCAAAGTCCAATGTCCTTATGCCACTAATAGAAAAAAACGGTCAACTTCTACAACAGTGGGAGAAATACTCCATGCCGCTCTCTCCGTATGATGACGCACCACAAAACACATTCGTAAAATGAATATTGTGTCCTGGTGGTGAACTTAGTGACGTTGGAACATATAGGAGATTTTGATTAGGAATATCAAAATTTGGCATCTCACAAAAAGGCGAATAACAAGACTTGCCTTTTTCTTTTTCACCACCTTACTCAGCAAAAAGTGTCTTCACACAGCAGACAGCGGACTAGTCGGGCCGAAATACCGGAGGGGACTTCATGCCCGAACTTCTGTTCATCATCGTCTATCTCCTGGAGTGGAGGAGAACTCATAGATGTATAATGTACATACTAAGTTTGAAATCGCACTGATTAGTTCGGGAAAAGTCGGATGTAGACATTTGTCGTGGTACTTGCGGACAAGTTAAAGGAGTGAGAACACATCAGGACTTCCGTTTGGCATTCGCCATCCCGTTTGATCCTTATCTCAATGTACTTACTTTTCGCACACATGCTTTGAGATCGAAATGGATCTGATCAGACATGCTTGCAGGGAGACATCGTTCAAAAGGCACGTTCTTCTCGGACCAACGTTGACGGGCGCAACCCAGATCGAGAGCCGTACGGTGACACGATGGCACACATTGCAAGAGAGCAATGATGAGTAATGGTTGCATTTCAGGATATGCGATTATGTTGCACTAGAAAAGAAGGCATCCCAAAGTCTATAGCATACTCACAAGTAAACCCAGAAAACCTACAGTGTTGTGACATTTGTCATTTCCCGGGAAACCGAGAAGACATTATGATTGGGAGGCAGCGAGGATCCAGATTGTCTGTCAAGTAAACAGCCCTAGTAGAGTTGAAGACGCCAACAGTCTAGCCAGTTTATCAACCACCTCTTCAAGTACAAGTACAAATATCCTATACAATATATCAAGCTCGATTCAGGGGGAAAGATATCGCGGCCAGCTACTCACAGGGTTATCCGACGGATGCGTCGGTGAAAATTTGCTGAAAATGGAAATTCATGAAATACCTTAATCAATGGACTGGTGAGACTGAAGAACATCAAAAATCACAGAAATAGCCAAGCATCAAGTGATTGAGAATGGAAGTCGTAGTATCCGCCCCCACGAGGTATGTAGTTGTGCTACCGTGAGCTGGCAAACGAGGGTTGAGCAGCAATTATAGAAATGGCTGAAGGAGAGACGAAGCCAAAGGTGACATGTCACAACTCCAGCGAGATCGTCAGAGAAAATACACGAATGAGGTATCTAGACTTACAGACTTGAGAACATGAGTTTTGGCGTTAAAGTCGAGAGTAGAAAGTGATGTGACGGATATAGCTGAGCAACACACGAGTGCCTCCGAAACGCCACAAAGTGCGAAGGTATAGGGCGAGCAGAGGCCAGGCAGTGATCTGAAAGCCTTCCATGCCCTGACCCTGGGCGATGAGAAAGTATAACGAAGTCGCGCAAGCCGATCCAAATTCGACCCAGGCTTTTCCGATGCAGCGGAACTTGAGGACAGGACGAAGATGGGCTGGTAGCCGCAAGAACTGCCAATATTACTGCCACCGCGGCTTCAGTAGCAATAATTAGTTATAGACATGACGACGACAATGCAGTCCAAGGATAGGCATCGTCTGTTGCAATGTCTGAGGATAGCAAATGCAGCCAGCACGAGAAATACCAGAGTCGTGGTTGACTGTAACGTTGATGTTGCCACCGTGAGAACGCTACCGAAAAATAGACTGCTTGCTGTTTTCTGTTCTCTTCGTTGTGTATCAATTTGCACAATGGTCTCCCGTCCCCGTCCACAGTGCTGACTTTTCGTGGAGATATGTTTTGCACAGGTCTTACTATAGCCCATCTCAATTCTTCCACATGGCCTTGGCCCATCGGTGTCATTACATGACTATTTCAATGTCGAAGTAGTTGGGCGGGTCTACCCTGTCAATGCGCAGAAAATAGCGTCTGAGCAAGTCCGCAAAACCAAGACTCTGGGGCTACATATCTGATACAGGCCGCTTATCCGTCCTTCCTGTTGATCCTTCTCGCACGTTTTAAACCATGCGATCCTCATGCCCTCAAACTGGCTCGTCCTGCCCTTCTCCCTTTGTTTCGTCAGTCAAGACACGTCAACCACGTCTCTTATGGATTGGTCCTTGTTACGTGCTTTTCGGGATAAAGTCTCTTTCCGTCCCAAGTTCCTCGTGGTGAGAGCGGATATCTACAGATTCTTACTGTGGAATGATGTCTGGGATTATACACAAACGCAAGGTGACGACCTCGACATGTACTACCCAACGCAACGGAATTTGACACGATACCTTTCGCAAAAAGAGATGTCGCACACGGGCTTCGCCGTTCGGATCCCTCCATGCCTTCCTCGCGCCAATCATGCGTAGTCTGACGCGACTGATATGGTCCTCGGCCGCCCTCATCCTGTAATCTCCTTTCGAAATATCGTAAATGAACTCAAATAAGATGCCACGGAGATATACGGATTCGGGTTCAACAAATCACCTTCCTATGAACCATTACCGGGATCAGTGGCAGAGGTCTATTTCTTTGCTTCTTCGAAGTAATGTCTTCAGTACACTATTTTCGTATGCCGCACCAGACCGTTTGTATTCTTGTAGCGCAGGTACTTCTTCTCTTCCTTGCCGCTTTCTTATCGTTTCGTGAGAGCGGGCGCGTAAGAAGAGCTCCGCAACATACACACCACTAGCCGTCCGGCGGGAATGTTGTTATCTCGCAGCACCTTGTCCTTCTCTAATTGAGCCAGGTGAGTGTTTCAATGGCTATCATTCTACTATCCTATCACTGGTGGGTGGTTGTGAGATCACAGCGGTTCGGCTATGTCTCATTCCGAATCTGATATGCGAAACTCGCTGCTCAGGGTGCTGATCTCATGCAGCACAAGTAGTAACCCCTCTGCATAAGTCGAGAACATACAGATAAATCCGCGGACCTTAGCAACAAGACAAGGATAAAAATGAAATGCGCGCAGTCCAATACCAATTGCGATGATCATGGAGGTTCCGAGTGATTGAAGGGAAGTCAGTTCGATATGAACAACAGCTCTTACGGAATATGGACTTCCAAAATGTATGGTGGTGAAACCTCAGGCTGGCGCTACTAGTACACTCTTCTGTTTCTCTTCTGGCTTGTGATGTTGGCAGTACACCGCTAGGATGCATCTGGTTGACGTCGAACTTGTTCGCCCATGGATGATTGAAATTCTAGCCTGACATACGGTATGATCTATGAGGGCAAGGGCGCTCTGGACACCGTTAGAGTGACCACCAAGTGTAAGGTCCGCTCTGGCTTCTTTTATTTAATAAATAAATACGGCTTCGACAAATACGCGACGAACTCGATGCCCATCGTGTGTGCGATCATGATACAACTGTTCTCGAGTGAATTGAAAAAAAATGAAACTCCTATGTGGCCGAGTCACGTCAACAACAAATACCGTGATTCTTATGGGCGCCGCGGCTGCATTGTGATTCGATCATACCGCCCAGTTGCCCAGCACTAGCACCTTCTCCAAATGCCAGAAATATATCAATTTCATGAAGTTTAGTTTAGTAGGATACAATAATGCAATAACAAGTCCTTCGACATGAAAACTAATCACGAACATGATTATACTAAACAGTGACAGCGAGAGTACACTCCAAGAAAACAAAAACGAAAGCTCATTGAACCAAGTAAATGTCCAATGTCAGCAGAAATGCTATAGTACAACGCGAAAACTGTTCAGCACACGTCGGTCCTCCGCACTTAAAGGACTATAATTGTTTGGAAGTTGATCAGGACGAGTAGATGATGAGGTATGATATGGGGAAGCAAGGTCATGGCGACCTCGAATTGGGGCAAGAGTGGATATGCTTGGTAACGATACATCCTGACGGCCAGTCCTAGGAAGTGGTGATGACAATGCCGTAGATTGGCGTTGGAGGGGAGATAGCATGGTTGATGACGATGATGAGGCAGCTGACATGGGCCTCATTGGATCATCATGGTATGGCTGCGGCATAGGATGGGAATAGTGACTCGAGGCCACGTTTAGTGCATAATCGGAGCGTTCGTAAGCTTCCCTCGAGTCAACCCCGTATGAGTAGCGATCATTTCTCAGACCGCTGGCTTTACTGGATACGAAGACTCCATCTGGGACTTTGAGACTTCGGAGGTAATCGTAATTTTCCACGACAGGAAGGCGTAGGTAATCGTCGCCCTGTAATGACGAAGTTGATCAATGGGAAGAGTAAAGATGGTATACCGTAAGTGACAACTCACTGTAAAGTAGGCCACGATATGCCATTTCCGAGGATGGCTTGATCCTGGCATGTACACAAGGGCCGAGTATGTCTGCTTGGTAAGGCCGTTAGGGCGGTTTGGACGGTCTTTCCGTCTGTTTGTGGGAGGTGCTACAGCTAATGGGTCTGTTGCTCGACGGGCTCTATAGCACAAAGGAGGCTCAGCTGAGGTCTGATGACAGCGATATCAACACATACCTTAGCGCTGCCTTAGCGTCTTTTTCTTCCTGTGTAGTCTCCATCTTCTCTTCGTAAAACAGATAATCGCCACGCATTCTACTCTGGGACCTGTAGGGCGAGCTGAGTCTTTCACGTGAAAATGAGTGCGCGATGTGTAATCACCATCTTCGCCCATCCGTCCAACGTAGGAGCCCGCCGTCATTTTCTGCTTCCTCCCATACAAAGACGTTTCCAGAAGTGAGTTGCTCCCGCTCGCTGGCCGTGAGGCGCCTTCTGATCAGTGGCAACATGTTAAGGCGCACTGCCTCGAGGACAACATGGGCATCCTTTGCGTCACGCACGTCTTCATAGAAATATTAGATTAAATAGTATTCGACGATGAAGAGCACAGCACATACGAAGGGCAGGATGAGTTGGAGGGCCACCATTGGCTGCAGGCTGCTTGTAAGTGTTGGCCATAGTCGGAGAGTAGATGTATTATACGGAAGGACAGACTTGCCTTAGCACCAATTTATAGGACGCGGAATAGTCACGGGAGGCTGCAATAACACATCGACTCAAACCCACATAGGAAAATGTGAGGAAAGGACCGCGAAGCACAGGATCTGGAAGAGATCAGATCTGTGAACTTTCAGGCATGAAAAGTTTGGCGAGGGAAAACAAGAACCGATGTCCTATCTAATCACGATTTCCAACCTTTTCTCGTCTGTGCTGTGAGGGAACGGAGATCTTATGCAATGCTGATAAAATAAACATGACATGGGACAAACCTTGTTTCATTGACCCGTACCCAGGCACCGGTGACAGTGCGTTCTCTGACACACTTGAAATTCTCCCGTCCACACCACATTTCCTTCCCAAATGGCATCTCGCAAATGATGCTGAGGGTATGAAAACCAACGGTTAGCCGATCTCCCGATTAAGCAAGATAAATCGGCGGTCCGACTCTTCTCACAGTCCTAAGCAGAGCAAAGGCAGACTCTCAGGCAAAACAGGGCTAAACTTCGGATGATATGATTAGCCCATTCATGGAAACGGATGTGCTGTCAGCCGTCAAGGCATCAACCTGTAACGCTGGCTTATCTTGATGCAGGTGTGATGGCAATTCTAGTGAACTTCCAATGACCAGACGGTTTGAATGGAGAAACCTACTCTTCTAGTGCAACCTTCACAGCAATTCTATAATTATCCGCGGTGCTCGATGCGACGAGCTTGTTTCTTGATTGCCCGCTCATTTCCACTTAGAGGATAAACAGTGCATATGCATACAAAATTGTCAGGACGGCATGAAAACATGGTATTACGGCCAATTACCATTATTAAAATTAGAGTGTCTCCGAATGGCTCCTTGCATAATATGGCTTGGATCGGAACCAACAATGCAGGATTACCGGGAAACCACGTATCAAAATGAGCTAAGAAAGCATGCGCCGCGCTTGAGCTGAGCGAATGAAACCTCGTTGCATGCCTTGCCAAGTATTGTCCCTGAGCCACTCCACAGAACGCGGAGGTATCCCCATATCCTGTCAAAATCGAATGGGGCTAAACATTTTGAACATGGTCAGATTGGGCTTTGGCTTGTCGGTTGTTGTCGGGTGCACGGATCTCGGATTGCAGAACAAACGTTTTCGTGACCTATACGTATCTTTTAAGCCTTGATACAGTCATGGTTGTAGATTACCGTTCGCGGGGTCTAGAAATGTGCAGGCGACGAGTAGTTAGACAAGTTCTAGAATAATTACGATACCTACAGGGATATTAAACACCAAAGCAATCTAGTACATTTTGAGCGCTACAGGTGCTTGCTACCTCTGGCAGACAGCATCTTCCCAACTAGTCACTAGAGCAAGGAATAAAACGGGTCATAGAAGTTGACGGGATTTGACTATAAGCACACCTTTCTATATCCAGTAAAATCGACACAGGGGCATTGTTGACAAACTTGCGATGGATCAGAGCTTAGTAGCTCATGCTACTACATGAACATTGTCAAGATAACTGACAGTTTGGGTCCACGTCAATGGACAGCTTACCACCACACGACACAGTAATGACCGTAAAACATAGCCTCCTGATAAAGAAGCTCCGGCATAACATCCCGAGTCATCGGTTGCAATGGTATCCCGAAACGCATGACATCCCCAAAGTACTCGTACACCAGTGAGCAAAGAGCTATTAGCTCTACTTAGCAAAAAGCTTGGGAGAATATGGATGTCCTTGGCAAGTAGTGTAACATTTTGGCAGGCTTTGTCACTTAATGACGCCCTGATCAAGAATTACTCCTCTGCAGAAGAATAAGACGTCGCCACGTCGGAGGGGAGCTGTGCTGCGCAAATGATTATGGGAAGATTCATTGATGCAGGCCGAGAACACAAAATCTGCACTCTGCATTGGGATTCTTCCACCGAAGAACATTCTACCCGGCACCGCAAGGATAGTCGTGAGGCTGTACGATAGCGCTCCTCTGTCCAATTTCCCGCGTACAGAAAGGAGGCTATCTAAGACTGACACGATAAATCAAGAAATAAGTAAGCCGTGTTCACCACGCGTGCGATTAGCTTACCTTCGAAAGCCGATGAGTTTAGCTTGATGATTGCTTTGGGTGATGGCCCAAGGCTTCAAGTTGTACCTCAAGAATTGAGTTGAGTACAATTTGCTCGATCCGATTGTACCACGACAGATCTTAGTCTAGAGGCTAGTCCAGAATAGTGATCCAGGATCTGTATCGTAAGTGTATTTTGGGCCCAACGGAGGTTACGGCCCAGGCTTGAGCTTCACTCACCATCTATCATTCGAGTGAATGCGGACGGGAAGCTGTGGGCAAGAGTAACGGAAGCTGCTTCTAGAACAATATGTCTACGGGAGCCCTTGAACGTAAGTAGCTCACGACCCTGTATGAAACTGGAGATGGGCCGACCAGCATCAGACTCACTGATCAGACGATGGATTTCCTTTTTCAACATAGGCACGTTGATTACAGACCGAGTTGGAAGAAAAGAGACGCGTCACGGGCGTCCATTTACCGCACTATCCGGCTCGCAGCAATAGAGAAGATAAAATTAAACTATTCAGCACGAGGATCCGGAAAGCAGTCATGGTTGTTTTCACGAGTATCTTGCGGGTACAGTACGGCCCAGGCATCGATGTTTCTCCGCAAAATACGAAATTGGGAACACAACGCACCCTCATGGGCCTTTGACAACAGTCTGCTGGCGAAGATTGTGGGGATGACATGTCGTAAAGACGATTACTGGCATTTGCTATTGCGAGGAAAAAGATACAAACGAGCTCAGCCGGGGTCAGAAAAGGGTAGATGACTTACGTTCTGAGTGTACTAAGCTGTTCCTGCTTTCCAGTGACTGCAAACTCACTCTTCTCGCTTGTTGCCGTCGCTTCGGAGTTTCAAGGATACAGACGAACTTTGAGCAAACATTTGGCAAGTCGCACCACACGTCCATACGTCCATCATGCCTCACAGACATGCAGAACACACTTGACCATATCGCTAGCTCTCAGCAATATGGATATCATTCTACAGCCACACGGCTTTCTTAGCCCTGGCGCGTACAAAACTCATGGCAGCCATCCTTTTTCTTTCCTTTTTTACGTACGTGTTCATCACTCTTCCGATGGCGTCCAACGCTGATCGCATTTATTTCAAACATGTCACATCTACGTTCTGACTCGTTTTCCAGGTTCTCTTTGTCGAGCAGCGCAATTGGTGTCGCCTAGCATTTCCTCATGTTATATGGATGACATTCAGATGGCCGCATCTAGGATTCCATACATAATTGGTACTCAAACGCACCTGAGACTCGATACTTATCACCGCATACCCGACTGAACCCTCTCATTCCCAAATACCAACGGCGAATTTGACATTTGACCGGTCCTCGCCACCACCTCAATCGTGATTGAATCTTACAGTAACCTGGTTATTTTTCACCCGCCCCGGCCCCTAAGGAACCTGACCCACTTTACATGGAACTCTGTGCTCCCGGATGATGCGGACGGACCCAATCTTTTATACGGCATACGATTATGTTGGGCATTGACGATGGTGTGTACGCTGGGCCTTGGACTCCAGACGTTGCTGCGGTCCTCCGGACCCTACCGGGCCTGCTGATTGAGCGCTTGTGCATTTGATCACATAACGTCGTACGATGCTGACAACACACAATACATCACTGCCAGATATATTCAAATTTATTGAAGCTCATCCGTGATACGTCCACATGACCGTGATATCGTTTATGACCTGTCATCCAAAGTCCGAGACGAACACGGTTCTCTCCCTCTCGAAAGCGGTACGTCGTATGCTCACTTTTGACGTCCTCATTATCTCCCGGTACTAACTTATTCCCGCAGCCTCATATCACCGGTCACTATACTTTCGGCGGATTACTCGACCTAATCTAATGCGATGTCCACATGTCTCGACCGCATCTCACTGTTGTGATTGTTATCAACTCGTCAGGTTATATATCTACGCCACTTCTATCTTCTTTTTGTCTGCTAAAACTTATATATCATCTGATTGCCAAACCGTTGTAGGTTTAATTGACTCTCAGCGCCGATTAACTGACCAGCAGAGATTGACGCAGAGGCGGCTTTATCAGTGCAAAGTTACTACCGCCGCCTGTCATGTAGTGGCATGCCCTCCGCCCCGCTACGCTCGCTTGGGGCCATCAGAAAATCAGCTTAGTGAGGTCAGCTCGACCTAGAAAGTCACCTCGCCTACGAATTAACGAGAACAACTCATCCATCATCGAAGGTTTTGTTACTTGGTCCGAGAGCCGTTCGATAATGGAAGCATTATGCCGATAGTCGAAGCCGTGATAAATTTGGTTCCGCTGCTTATTTCTGTGTCGCGTATCGTGTATATAAATATACTTTTCTCTACATTGCCAGAGCATTGCTATAGACTGCGCGCTTGTTTACTATCTTCATCTTTTTTTTCTTCCAGAATAACAATATTCGCTCGTCTCTCGACCGTGGAGGACTTGTTTCCCCGAGTTAATTCAATCGCGCAGTGTACACGTGTATGCCGCGGTGTTTGAATATTCCGAGATGACTGATTGCTGGATTTTGACGTTGTAAGAAAAGCGAATTATTCTGCCAAACATACCCTGTTTAAGATAACGATTCAAGCCACATGCACACGATACGGTTCACCAAACGTGGCTCAAGGCACATATCCCGATCAGACGAGCTCACAAGACTGATTTAACAGTCATTGTAATTGCTATTCACCTTCCATCCTGGGATATAAGTCGCGGTCATATGAGCTACACAGATATTGACGAAGTTGTCCCGTGTACGTGTGCCTGGGACACATTAGAATTTCAAGGGTCACGTCCAAAGGTTGGGGGCGGATGAAAGATATATTCAGTGATGGCGGCCTCTAAGAACAAGTGAACGAACAACTACTTTTCTTTGGAGATTTTTATAATATATGCATTCAATGAGGTCGAATCTCCCCCAGGATAGCGTGCCTGACAACATAGGATTATGGGCGTGTGACTACGAGTGTACGATACGTACTATTACTTCACCCGACAGCTTTGACTGTAGTAAAAATACACGTCTGACAGCAAGAATGTTGGTCGACCACCGTTCAACACTGAGAAAAAAGGTCCTTAAGAGCTTCGATGCTGTGCCGCTTCAAAATTTTTACGGACAATCCAAAATGATTACTCCCTGAGACGACGGGTGTTGGGAGGCATGTGTGTTTGTTCCCTTTTCGAAACCACCGTGGAGGCGTTAAAACCGCGAGATCGTAATAGCTTCAGGGAGAAGAACCTGACAGGTGAATCAAGGCTATCAGGAACGACAAAAATAACTTGATGATAATTGTAGCTCACCAATGAGCCTATAATAGCACCTCATGCTCTTGCGACAAGAATAAAAAGCACTATTAAAACTCGCCGTCCGAAGGAGATACAACTTCTTAGAGAGGAGTCGGAGGTGATGGGCTCCAGTTCTTGCGAGTAGGTGATAAGCAAGGAAATCACCACAGGCAGTGTGACTGAATTGGCACTCGCACTCACTCACCTGACTGGGATTGCCTCCGACGATGCGGGGAACGTAGCGGATGTCCGGGATTCGAAAAGTTCTATCAGACTCGGTGAAGCATCGACTCAATGTGGAATAGCAGTTTCATAGAAAGTTCTTTTGAGGTATGACCAACAAATTTCTCCACGCTGAACGGTTTTCCCCGTGGAAATGTAGTAGTAAAGTAAAAGTAGGGCACGGTATTACAGTGTTCCAGATCACCCCTGGACAACGATCAGAAGTTTCTCTAGGACGGCACGGGTGCAGGAAGAGGCGGAATAATGAGGTTCGTACCCTAGAAAATGTTCGAGAGTTCCCTTCTATCGTGTACTCGTCGAGAAAGCTATGTGAATCAGGACAGTTTATGATGCTGGGGCAAAAGTATTCTGAGTGGCCATGCGTGTATTCTGTCGATTAACTGAGTATCTGTATTCGTTCCTAGGCTTGACACACCGTCGTTTGACATTGACAGCGCAGTTTCACGTTTTTACACCGTCACGAAGCGATGAGACCGACGGCAACACTGGTCAGTTGACTACGGTAATATTGCTGCCCGTCCTGTCCATCAACATCAAACTCTACCGTAGTACTCGCGCGCTCTTTTTGTTTAACGTTGACAAATATGGCGTGGAAGGTGCGCGGGTACACTCGTAGTACCACAGTTAGGCCCCTAAAATGATTTCAAGCTTGTGGCGACCCTCGCGACAGCACAGGTAGTCATTTCATATTTGTATCTTTTCGCTTTCATAAAACAGGATAATCATACTGGCGCGACAGGGAAACATCAAATGAGCAATCTAACGGAGCACCGTATGGTAGTATGAAAGGAGCCTCTGAACTTACCCCGACAATATTTATCCAACGCCACTGCCAAGTTCAGGAATATTCCTGCTTTCTAGTCACGACTAGATATCTACGCCCATTTGGAGCCCAATGTCATTGCAGCCGCACGTAAATATAAGTGATAGGCTCGTTTACTCGCCGCTAAGCTGACGCTTGTTAGGGCCCGTACGATCGTGGTTGCAAAATCTGAATCCGGCTTTTGCATAATTCGGTACCCCTATAGCGAGGCCGCATTAACTTCAAGGCTTGAGCTCGGCTGTCCGAAAGCCTAATTTCTTATCTGGATGCTAGCTAGCTGGTTGGGTTTCCGGCCTTCGTGGTATCCTGCTTCATTATCTCCAGATAGCCTTGTTGGGCTTGGGGTCCGATATAGGTAACCAACCATCGCATTCAAAGAGGCGCGGTTTATGTGATCTTTGCTTGGGAAGTAAGTTTCTCGACCAAGCTTGTAGTGTGTTCATGCTTTCGGTATAAGCAAATATGAACGTTGTTTGTGTTTTCCTGACGTATCATTGTGACAAATTTTGCAACGCCGGATTAAGCCGGGAAAGCCCTATTCGGTGATCCATCATTATGGCCGAGTCTCGCTCTATTCCCACCCGAATTACAATCAGCCTCGCAGTATATTCAGCCATTTTGAACTAGCTTAAAGTGCAGTCTTTCTTCAACCTGCTCAACGCAGGCTGCAGGACATTTACTGGGTATAATAATAAACTGTAAAGTATCTTGTTGTATACCTCATTTCTGGAATCTTATTATCATTTTCACCCCAATCAGAGCCGTTCGAGTGAGTCTTCCAGTTGGTCAAGAAAGCTCGAAAGGAGACGTTGAAACACGCCAACACCGATCAAAGAGAAATATTTGTCGTTCATAGTATTATAGCGTCAAAATGAGCACAAATCCAGGTGTGCTTCATGACATTGGTTTCATCTCCATACATCATCTCCATACATTAACCAAGTATATCAAGGTAGCAGTGGGTACATGTCTCCGAAAGATATGCTCGATCTTCTTGATCATCCCGAGAGCATCGGTGGCGCCAAGGACGGAAAGGGGTTAAGAATCGTTTATGAGAAAGGTAAGGGGTTCTACATGTTCGCAGCCAATATCTTAAACTCGCATCCGAGTAGAACATTTGGACTTGAAGCCGCAACTCTTGTCTAAATTTGCACTCGCGTGCTTCATTGGGATTCTCGACGTAGTAAAACAAGTATAGCCCACCTCTTCCTATTTCCCGTTCGGCGGTCTTAACTTGTATTCCAGGGAATATCTACTGGGTCTGCTCCAGATCTTGTTGGAACAGAGACTCCAATTAAAATCGGTTATGCATCGTTAGTCGTTCTCGGCGCGCAGCGGATCAACGGTGGGACGAAGGATTCGCTTCAGCACCTTACGACTTTGAGACACCTACTTCAGCAAGGTGCACCACCCGATGTTCCCGATAGCATGGGCTACACAGCCTTACATCACTCTTGTGCTTCATCTTCTCCCCAGCCTACTCTCGCACGCGTGCTACTGCAAGAGGGTGCCGACCCGAATTATCGAAACCGCTATGGCGAGATCCCTATTTTTGCACCGTTTCGTTCGAACAATATCACTCTCGTTGACTTGTTAATGAAATATGGCACCAACTTGGACATTGTTGATGTGAATGGAGACCCCGTGCGATCGATTTTTGTACACTTTGGACCACAAGTCACCGCTACTGTGAGAAGATGGGAGAGGAAGAGAATGGGAGAAGATGCGCCATTGGATGATAAGCGGTGTGAGGGATGTTCCAAAAAGGCGGAGGGTAGGATAAAACAGTGTTCAAACTGCCATACGGTGCGGTATTGTTCAACTGAATGTCAACGTAAGTGGTTAATTTTGTACCGTCCTTGTAAGTAAGTACATTTTCTGATCACGGAGAATTTATTTTAGGTGCTGACTGGCAGAACCACAAATCCAAATGCCAGCCCTTCTCCGCTCCGAATGTCGTGACACTCAGGCCGGACTACCAATCGTATAGTACAGTGTTCTCTCGGGCTGATTTCGCCCGACAGGCGTTAGGTATACCGGAATATTCTGCCTCAGAACGCCGACATCGGCCACTCACGAAGGATCTGAGTGATCACGAGCCCAACAAGAGTCTTGTAGTCAAGGTTCAGGTCCCTTTGGTATCAGCGCTCATCCTGACAGGCCCAGATGTGGGCGACTTACTCGTGTACAACAAAAAAAAGGATTTCATATGCAACATTCGTCAAGCCGAAAATAGAGGGAACTACGAAAAGATAGTGAAAGTTGTACGAGCTAAGGGCATCAATGGGATCAAGGCCTACTTTGCAGCAGAATTGAAAAACAGGTACGAGTTGGTGGTAAAAATATCAGAGGTATTGGCAGAGCAACCGTTTTAATTGTAACATCGGACTTCCGGCTTTGGATATTATAAGCATTGCATGATGTGCTAATGTACAGTATGAGATGGGTAATAACACAGAATTAATGACTGGCTCACTACGGATAGGCCGACACCTTCATGTATCGAAAATTATGATATGATGATCACGGAATATGTTTCCTCCCTTCAAAATTATGATCATATGGAATGTGAACATGATCTCCTTCTTATACACAGATGCCATTGCGATTCAAGAGCACTACCTGAGGTTTTCCAAGCTTTTTTGGCATGATTGTCGTTGGTCATGTCGTCGAGACTCTGATGGGCACGGTGTAAGAGCTATAGCCGGCCAATAGCGCCCGTTGCAACGCGCTGACTGTGCAGGGTGAGCTCAGCCAGTGAAATTTCATAGAGCACAGGTCTGCACGGTCCAGCTGCAAGCCCCGCTGCAACCTGCTCTCGCTTGGTTCGGTTACAATAGGGTCATATTGCGACACAGACGACCCCACATTCCATCTAGCCATTTCCTCTCCAAGGGCGCATAACCTCTCCCCCTTCTCTGCACTTGCTCTTTCTTGCTTTGCAATCATCCGACATACCGTAGACATTTATTCCATGCAGAGCGTCGAGCAAAGCTTACCTGCGTCTCGCAACGACAGCATGTCAGATTCATATGTAACACCAGACGGCTCCAGCAACGGACATGCGCCAGGCGGTTTACTTGCATTCGATACTCCCAACACAGATATCTCTTCTGTCGCCGCCTTATCATCAACTTTTGCCCCTCCTCCTGTCAAGGAACCATATACGCCTGAAGAAGCGCTCTTGGACATACCCGGCATCAGCTATGCTCTGCATGAGTTCCTTCACTCAAGGATGGTAGAATCCGAGGATTATTGTCACCAAAGTGATCCTACAAAGTAACCACCTTGTATTTGAGGAAGTATGTCGATAGTTGAACATTATGCTAGGAAGCGCATGTACTTTGCAACAGGTTATGGCCTCATTCAGTGTGTAAAAGGTCTTATGTCTTTCGAGGACAAGGTTTGCACAAATTTCTACTACAGTATCATTCACAACCCACATATGTTCACAGGATTTGTTAGCCGCGATAGGGCACACAAGGCACGGCAACGCTGTAGCTAGTCAACACCGCAAACGCCAAGCGTCTCTGACAACACGACTTGCGGGATATGTAGTCAGTTCCTTGAATACTTCTGGAGTCGGGTGGATTAAGGACATGACACCTGTGGAACGGCACGCTGAGTTGGTGTACGCCGAGAGTCTATTTGAGAAGGTGAGTATCATCTCCATTACTTGATGTATTGAGACAGACTTTACCTCAAGTCTCTGTTGGGTGTTGTATACTCTGGAGACTGGCTAGCATTCATTAAAGAAGTGTGAGTATCTCGATCTCTCATGCCAAGGCCTTTTTCAAATAGACGTTTCAGATTGAACATGCGGACCACTATGAATATATATCGCCAGCTGGGGAAATTTCTTGATGCTGTCGACGCCGAGGCTCAAGCACGAGGAGAGGGTTCTGAAGACAAATCGATCGATGCAGACTTCCGCTCGGGGGTATACCTCGGTCTTGGGATGTCAAATCTGATCCTTAGCATGATGCCAGGGAAGCTGCTTACGCTTGTAGAGCTCTTTGGATACAAAGGCGATCGTCATCTCGGCTTAGAAGTGCTGCAAAGGGCTGGAGGATGGACTAAAGACTCATCGACCCCTAGCGTTAGTTGGGGTAAGTCATTATTAGAGTATAGCTTTACACGCGGTTGATGCGTGTTATAGAGGGAGAAGGCGTGCGCAGATCGATATGTGATATGTGTCTTTTGATCTTCCACCTCGTGCTATCCAGTTTTACCTTTGATGGAGTGGACATCATGATGGCACAGAAAATCCTGGACTGGAATTTGAAGCGATACTCTAATGGTGACATTCTTTGTTGAATATCATCTGCAGTATTCTTACCACCTATTCATCTAGGTGTCTTCTTCTTGTTCGGCGCAGGTCGTTTGGCTCTTTGTCGGAGTCAGCCTAGTCGTGCTATAGAATACTATACTAAGGCTACGCAATCACAATCGCAGTATCGCAATCTTTACCATATATCATGGTGGGAGATCGCAGTGTCCAATTTTTCTCTATGGGATGTCAGAGCGTCTCTCACATGCTGGCGTGACCTTGAAGCGGAAGCTACTGTCAGTAATCTTTGTACATCACCCCCTGACATACTAAATGAGGACGTTTGCATAGTGGTCCAAAGCTTGTTATACTTACGGCATGGCGGCTTGTTTAGTAGCCCTGGGAGAACAGCAAGAGGCTACTAAGCATATGTGTAGGGTACCTGGATTACGACAAAAGATTGCAGGAAAGTCCATCCCTCTGGAGGTGAGGCCTTTTCGCTTCCGACGTATCACAAGTATTAATACCTTTATCGCTTTCGCGCCAGAAATTCGTCGCACGTAAAGCTCGCAAGTTCCAACAGCAAGGCGGCCGACTTGCACTGCCAGCTCTTGAGCTGGCATATGTATTCCAGGCAATTTCGCACGCACCGAAAAAAGTCATTATTTCGAAGATGTTGCCTGAAATCGAGAAGCTGCTGCTGAAACTCAAGGAACACGAGAAAGCGCCCGCCAAATACGAACAAGGACATGGTTACTGGGATGACTTGTGCCTGGCGCGATTTTTGGAGGGTGTGTGCTTACGATATGTGGCATATCCTGTGCGTGGGTTTGCCCCATTATGTTGCATGGCTACGTGGCTAGGTACTGATTGTTACATGCACTCAAGGATCCTGATGCAGTACTCGATCCTCGCGAAGAGGCTGGTATATCCACTGAAAATGCACGGATACGTGCAGTAGCGGCTCTCGAGTCGGTCTTCAGTAATGGCCACAAGGTTGAACTCGATCACCACCTAATTTATCACGCTCGTATGTCCAACTATGACTTTGTTTATTCTCTTTATGACACTTTCCCTTGTCAGACTTTGAGTACGGAAGACTGCTGGCTCGTTCAGGCGACATTGATGGGGCGCGAACACAGTTTGACCTTATTCTTTCTGGTGCGTCCTTGCTGTATATTCTTTTAACCGTTTAGCCTCATGGGATACGTGATCCAGGTAAACCACTTGAGGTCTTATCCGGAAGAAAAGGAAAGTATAGTTTAGAGGTACGTGATGTTGCCCTTAGTCTTGTGAGCAAGTTTGACGTCCTCTTCAGAACTCATTGCACCTTCGCACACATGCGGCACAGGAGGCGTTGTTACACAATAGGTCGTTATAAGATGTATCTGAATGTTATTTATTTCTTGTGTTGTCAAAGAGTGCTTTATTTAAGAAGTATAACACATGTATTAGTTGATCTTAGGATACCTATCTTAAACTAATTTCAAGAGTATGTCCGGTTGGAGAATATCATGATCATGTTCACTGCCAATAATATCGTCGTTCTCGTTCTCAAGGCCCAAATGAAATCGTCTGATGGATTTGCACTCCTTTCCTCTTATGTCGTGTTTCTGGAAACATGCAATATGATCCGCATAAGACTAAACAGGGCCGCCCCATGATATATCTACTACGCCTCTAGGGAGTGCTTGCTGCAAACGAGACTTGTACTGAGAAATACACGCGTCGATATTTAGAGACATAGGGGAGAATAGACTCTTGTAGAGAACCACTTGAACGTGCTTCATCATGGCAACATTTCTTGAAGGGATACCGCGCGCTCTCACCATCTTAAGGAACGCCTCCCCGTAAAATGATTTGCCAAACCCGAATTTAATACTCTGAAGATCCGGACAAAGCATGCGTGTCTCCCCCGAGTCTGCTTGTACCTGAAACGGAGTGAGGGCCTGAAGGATTTCAGTGTCTATCCTCGACGGAGGCCCTGGCAGGTAGCTTAGACGTTTGAGGTGAAGAGAGATAGAGCAGCAGGTGATGACCTCAGGCACTGTGATAGGCACGTGGACGAGGATGAGTTGCTGGAGTTGGCAGCGGGACCTATGGAGAAGGCAAGCAAGCTCCAGCCGATACCAACAGTGCTGTTGCTCAAGAGGGTCTCTCGAAAGAAACGCACATCTTATATATAGCTGACGCAACTTTGGAAGCACCAACACATCAAGGAAGCTCCCCAGCCGACACCCGTCCACTAGTATGTGAAGCTGCAGGTCTTCGATGAGAGACAATTCCAATGTGGGTGCTGGTCGCTTCAGTTCATAATTAGTGACGGTGAGAATGAACGATTTAATGTTCGTGCATTGACGAAGGACGTGGAGGTAACCGTTTAGCGTCGGGGTAATAGAACTGGTGAAGGCGTTGAATAAACATAAGTGAGTCAGTTGGTGCCATGGAATACGGATATCTGTGATGCGATATAGCGGCAAGCCCAGCCCAAAGCATCGAAGACGAGGGGAGTTTCGTTCAGCGATGATAGGAGGGAGGTTGAACGGACCAGTTGGCATCCTATGCTTGTCACTCGCATGAAAAATCATGGACTCTAACAGAGGGAGTGGTCGGCCTGCCAGCATGCTAAACAGGCTGAATGCCACAGTGGGCATGAAAAAGTAAAGGCCACCGAAGCGATGAGAATGCGACCGGATGACCGAAAAGAAGGAACGATACTCCGGAAAACATGCTTCAAAGCTAGCGTCATTCACTGAGCAAGGCTTGAAAGGGTCCACAAGATGTACGACGCTAAGAAAAAACGAGAGGGGGCCAGAACGTTGGAGCCAAGTGTGTAATACGGAGGTAAGCTTCTTCAGTGGTGAGATCCACTCCAGCACATCCGATGGAAGATGAAGGGCGAGAGAAGTCCATACGCGAGGACTAGACAGCAAAATCTTCCTCCAAAAGCTGCACACTCTACCAAGGACTAGAGGAGCATCACTGATGAGTGGCAACGCTCCTGCAGCTGGTATACAGTGTTCGAATATATTTGAGATGATTTCCGCTGGTACCCCACGGACAGGTGAAAACAGAACGACCGCGTTTACAGTCATGCTTGGGTAGCTAGGATGGGTGTCTTCGAGACGCAGTAGCTTAGTGAAAGTGCCAGTGTTGTGCACGTGGCGCGGCGCGATAGCTTGACACAATGAGCCTGAACTACGGCTTGCCCCAGACTGAAGGTAGTAGAGAGTAGTCAGAAAAATGTTTCAACGAGACGCAGTTCTGCATACTCTATCGTTTTTTACTTGAGTGTCTCCCTTACGATTATCCTTCGAAGCTAGACAGGATAAAAGTAAATCGTCCATCTCGACCCTAGGTCAAGTTTGAGGATGACCGTTGAGTAATAAAAAAACGGTGCTAAAGTGCGTTTGGAGGCGACCGAGTAAGGAGGGCAGTGCAAGTTTTCCCACCGGACAAAGGGTGGCCAACATGGTGATTTTCACCCATGGAAAGCATGCTGGCAACTGGCAAGTGTCCGCCAAAATATGGGTTCTGGTAACATTATAATCCATTGTAAACATGGCTAAAAGCGGCAATCCTAGATCGCGGAAATGGCATTTGGGGCTGTGCTTCTTGCCTTTCTTGGATATTTCAGCCTCCGACGGTGCGAGCTGACACCCAAATCAACTTCCGAGTCGTTCAAGAGTCTGACTCGGTTTTCGATTGGCTATGAAACCGAATGCCTCGTTCTGTCGCTTATACTCATGCCGGCAGTAGGGAAGATATGCTATAGCATCTACCAGTAATTCGTATTCTATCTAGACCCGAGTCGTGCCTCAGTGACTCTGGATCCTGCCAATTGTGACCGATATCACCCAGCTATCTAGTGGTACCACAGTTCGGAGAATTATGATATGCGAGCACCGCGTTCAAGGTGAGAGAGATATCATATTTAAATTGTCTCAGAATTCTAAGAATTCTATAATTGACGCCACCAGTGCCCATATTTACAGGCTTCCTCAAAGCCTCTTAGGGACCTATCCCGCGACTATCCGAACATGCCCAACGATCGTGTCTTAATATCTAAGTTTATTCGGTTGGAGGCACTGTGTACTTAGGCCTGCCATTGTATTTAATACAACCGACGTGACTCGAAATATCAATCCGATCGATATAACTCCTTGTTTACCTCACATAGACGGCGAGTCAAGGCTGCGGAGACTCATATGACCCATTCCTCTACCTGATCTGGCCTTCTGGATCATGTCGTGGTGGGTAACTTACCCGTTGAACTCGCCGGCACTCGGGTTTGATCATATTTGTTTTATCTGCAACCTGTTTTGAAAAAATCGGAATTTAGGTGTGTACATTCATGAAATTAGTTTGTTTTTCCTAAAAATGATACGGTATAAATCAATTGAAAATGTACATCAGATCAATTCATCGTGAGATTTCGTCTCCCTCAAAAACGTTAGTGGCACGGATATAAACTTTGAGCGGAATGCAAAACTCTCCAAAACACTGTTATCCTGTTGCGGCGCCCTCAACGGGGATTTCCGCTAACAATTCAATGGCTCCCTTCATAATCTGCCGCGCGCACTCCATAAGATCACCTAGAGATCAAGCCACGGAAGTTCATTAAATGCTTTCCCTTGTACCGCCCATGTAACTGCGGTCGTTCCACCCGGAAGACATTTCTCCAGACTGTCCTTAAAGTTCGAAACTCGTTCGTTGTGGTTGGGAGGCATTGGATGGTGCGTGCTTTTGTACAACACTACCTCAATGCTCTTTAGTGGGACAAGACCTTCTTCGATAATCGGCCGTACAAACCGCATGGCCACCATGTCCAATAGTTCACCACTTATGAAGGGACTTCCTAAGCCAAGACGGAGGGTGGCGAGTTTCGGGAGCATAAGAGCATTGTAGGGCAACGGCGGCGGATTCACTGCTTTAAAAAAGAGACTATCAGGTTTTAGGGGAGGCCAAGGAAGATACTCGAGGTGAGCGACTTCAGGACAAGTCAAACAGATGGCGACTATTTCTTCGAGGGAAATAGATACATGTTCAAGAACAAGTTGATGAAGGACGCACCGCCACTTTGGGAGGAGGCTGGAAAGTTGTAGATTGTGTGATGGAGGATGACTATATCGATATCTAGGACCCGATACATATCGTATGTGAAGCTGCTGAAGCCTAGGCAATTCGAGTACGCTCATAAACTCCCCTAGTTGGCATGCGAACGACACCACGAATACATCAAAGATTTCGAGGCGAGGAATGGTGACTGAAGTGGCAGCTTTTTGGAACCGGTCGTGGGCCACTGTAAATGCAAAAGATCGCAGGTTGCTGCATTTTTGTAAGATACAGAAGTAATCGTCAAGGGTCGCTGCGGGGTTGGTGCTATCAATCCCATGGCGCAAATACAAATCGGTTAATTGACCCCATGGGACGGGAACTTCTATGACATTGTTGCATCGAAAGCCAATGGCGAGGGATCGGAGACGGGGGGCATGCATATGATTGAGCTGGAGTTGAAGTTTGAGAGACAAATCGACGGAGGGAATGCGAACATCATTGGGGAAAAGTTGCAAATATTTGAGTTCCGGCATTGGACACCTCAGGAGATCATCAAAAATATCCTGCGTGAACGCAATTGCGGGCATAACAAATGATAGGCCCCCGAGGTGACCGAGGTTGGCTTGGATAACAGACATTAGATGACAATATGTTTGAAACCGCCCACCAAGCTCTTTAGATGGGACACTAAGGCGTATAAATGACTCAGCATCATATATGACGCTGAGGAAGAGTGGCAATGACCGCGCGTGTTCCAACCAATACGTTAAGGCTTTAATGTGCTTTTCCAGCGTTGGGAACCACCTGGACACCTTGATGGGAAAGTGCAAGGACAGGTGAGTCCATAAACAGGGAGTAGATAGGTATATTCTACGCCATGTACGACAGACCCTCCCCAGAACCAATGGCGCCTCTGATGCACGTGGACGTGAGCCACCAGGTGGAATACAACACTCAAAGATCCGTGAGATAATTTCGGGAGGCATGTGTCGCACCGGAGAGAGCAGCGCTTCTGCGCTCTGAATGTACTCCATGGCCTGCCCTTCATTCCTCTCGAATTCTCGTAGATCATGCAGTTCATCTTTTAGATGTTTGATACTTTCTAACTGCAGAAGGCCAACGATTTCATCATCGCTGGTGAGGTTTCTGCGTGCCTCTTCTAATTCACGAAGATCATCAGCTCTGCGTTGGATGACCACAGGCAGCATTGCGAGAAACTCCTTCATGTGCGATACATATTGCTTGATTTCGTGGATTTGGGCTGCTGAGGGAGTATAATTAGTCCCGAGAGCGCGAGAGAGCAAGACCTTGTTTCAAAAAATGAACATGCGGCAGGGAGCAGGAAAGACGACGAAAAGACGTACGGGCGTCTGGAGCCTATACTCAATAGCGCTCAGCTTAAGGTTTTTATATCTCAAGACCATAGGATATGAGCCGTGGATGAAGTAGAGCGAAGGTTGTCAGGAGCGAGGTTAGTGAGTAAGAAGTGGAAGTCAGCAGAGTGGCGAGAAACAGACCAAGCGGAAAACTTCATCCTTATATACCTCGGGATATGGTCCAAGTCTGTAAGATTTGTGCGTTCTTGTCAAGTCTATAATGGATTATAATTCCTAGCCAGATATGGAAGACCTGCGCCACTAGGTCCAATAAAGGCACTGTCCACGTTCGGTGGCTGTGTTTTCTGGCCACAATTTCACTCCTCCGATTCTTTTCTTGCCAAACAAATGAGAAATGTCACCAAATGGCAGCCACTACAGCCACTCGTCGCGAGGCTGTCTCTTTGAACGAAATCTTATCACAGTCATATGATACAATAACGCCGATTGTGACGCAGTTCATTATCGTTTTTATTATATATGTGGAGGCAGTTTGAAGGATCTCAGGTCTCAGTTGGACGAAGTGGTATATTAATATTGATTTATTTCCTAAACTACCAAAAACCCTAAAAACTAGTGCGATGTTTATGAACAGATAGCCTGATTATGTCCTTGAAAGCAAAAAAATATAATTAGATCATCATATATGAAGCCAAGGGAGCCCATGGAAACTCTTCGACACTGCCCAAGAAACTTCGACCTTTCCCTTCGGAAGACAATGCTGTAATGATTTCTTGAATTGGTATATGCGGCTATCCATGTCCGAAGGGTCTTCGCAGAACATGCTCTTGTATAGCACAACCTCGACGCGCCCTAGGACCGCTAATGGTGAGGACAGAATCCAACGAATGTGGCGTAAAGCCACCAGGTCTAAAAGCCCTACACTTACGAACGGACTAATCAGTCCGAACTTCAGTGTTTCGAGACGTGGACACAGAATGGGAGTTGTATCGCCCAGAGACTGTGGGGTGAGTGCTTCAATTACTTCATTATTCGGCTTCAGTGGTGGCCATGGCAGTAATTCAAGGCGAGTCAGCTGAGGACATACTAAGCAGCACGCCAGCATCTCCTTGATTGTAATTGGAACATGCTCGAGGATGAGATACCATAACATACAACGCGATCGTTGGATGAGACTAAGGATTTCGATTCCGCAAGCGGAATGCTGCTGTCCTTGAGGATGACCTGAGGGAAACATGTGCTGCATCTGAAGGCGTCGCAGATGGGGAAGATTGAGTGCATTCAGAAACCCTCCTACGAGACGTCCACTGCCTAATACGACGACCTCAAAGGTCTCGAGGATGGCATAAATCGGCGGTCCCACTGGTGTTTGGAAGATACCATCGGTAATTATTACTGAAAACCATTTGAGGCTTTTGCATTGCCGAAGCACCTGAAGATAATCGCTGAGTGTTGAAGAGACAAGGTTCGGAATGAGATGAGCCAGGTGCAAATGTGTTACCCGAGCCCATGGGACATGGATATTCGTCATTCTATACCATGACAGTCCTACACCAAGTGATCGAAGACAAGGTGAGTTATCGAGGTTGATTCTCCGAGAAGGCTCTACTGGAGTCACCATAATGTCAGTTGGAAAGATGTTGATGGTTTTTACATGCGGAAACGACTGGTCTGTGAGCGCAATGAAAGCGGGACAATCGAAGGAAACAGTAGGCATGAAGATAGAGAGGCCACTTAAACGATGCGCATTGGATTGGACAATCTCCAGAAGATGCTCGTACTCGGGGGAACAGTCGCGAAACTCGACTTCGTATACTGGGCGCTGCACAGAATGACCCTTGTCGTGTACAATGGTGAGCTGTAATGGACGTGACCTTGAGTGTTCAAGCCAGAACTCGAATGCTTCGACGTGTGCTCGCAGGGGTGCGTGCCACAAAGTCAATTCTGGAGGAAGATGAAGAATTAACGATGTCCACAGCCGGGGCGTGGCCAAGGCTATCCTCCGCCATGGACGGCATATTCTTCCAAGCAACAACGGCGGTTCTGATACACGTGGTCGAGGACCTGTGTGATGATTGACGTCATTTTCTTCTAGACAATGTTCGAAAATATTAGACATAACCTCCGCCGGTAGTCGCCTAGCTGGAGAAATGAGTGCCTCGCCTTCCCGGATATACTTCTCCAGCTCGACTCGGACACTCAACAGACCAGGGACCTCACATTTCATATCCTCCAACACATCCGCTTGTAACAAGGCGATCATCTCGTCATGAATGAGATGTTCAACCTCTTTATGTGCTTCCTCGGCCTTCTGTAGTCTCGTTCTTGCATCTTCTAATGCCTCTGGAAGGAGAGCGTGGATCTTTGTCGCAAACTGTACGAGTTGCTTTATCTCAGATGTTTGAGTCACAGATGGCATGTAGTTTGTGCCCAGCACGTCTTTGATCGGAAAGACCCATGTACGACAGTACTGGCAAACATCTACGAGGTTAGACTGATTTTGATTCACCGGCAACAGCCACATCAGAAAAGTAGCACGTACAGGCAACTTGAGCTTGTGTGAATCCAAGATCTCCTGGTCTGCCTTAGATAGATGTAGAAATGCCATTGCTATAGTCTGAAGAGTGGCAAGGCTCAGAGGAAACAAAAGGAAAAGTTGCGATGAAAAGTTGAAGTTTGAATGAGATACTTAAAGGAGCCGAATAAGGTGGCAATTTCTAATTTGTAGCCTAGCGCTTGTACGAGCGGAAACGCAAGAGGCCAGACAAGGTTACGTGTCACAATAGACCACACATGTTATAGAGGTTGACGTTCGTAAGATATTACTGCTGGCCACTTGCGGCTTGGAAAGCTTGCACATCCTTGCTAACCTAAAAAGGCAATCAAGGTTTACTCACATATGTTGTGGCTGTGTAATCACCGTGTCTAAACGTTTTCATCTTGGCACTGCACAGTCTGACTTCGATATTGTATCTCATAACTACGTTTTACTTCCAACCTTGTCGGCTTAGACTCATCATATGGACTCACTACTTCAAGAACGTCCTCGGGAGTGAGCGCAGTTTTCGGTCCACCAAGCCTTCGAAAAACAATGGTCACGGTGCCATAAGGCGGCGACTCGTGGCATATGACTTCTCATTCTTTGTGTAAGTCTGGTATTATTATGGTCATAAAACTTAACTTCTGAACGTAACTACAGAGGGGTACGCGCTTTCTGCTAACAGCCACAGCGCCCCATTGACGAATGGTGCCGGCTCTGATTGGAAACATCGGCCACTTTCTCTCATTCGGTCATTCGGATGCGAAGTCTTTGAACGTGGATAATGGTAGCAATGTTAGTGGCGCTACGTGGAATCCATCTTCAAACAAAACATATGTAATAATCATCTATCTTCTCAGATTTATTTTTTGTGAGACTGTTCACCACGGAATCGCCAACCCTTCGGTGTGGGCGGTCCATTCGATAATGCAGTTTTCTGCATACAATGCTGTTACCCACATATGCCCGAGATAGACACAGATGTCCCTTTTCAACGACTTTATTTGAGGCGACATACATCTGGTATCATTTAAACTCTCCTGGGCTATGAAAGTTTCGTAGCGGAGTGTCTTTGACCCTCAATGCGCATAAGGCTCGCCAAACTACTGGGATATCATAACGCCGCCGACGTCGCAAAAAGCGTCAAAAATTTCGCCGTCGTCTGGATAAAAACAAAATTCATAACGCGCCCATACAGCGGACCTTATACATCAAGGTTGGCGACGGACCATAACCTTGCGCAAACGTGCATGTCTGTCACAGGATCAGTGGTAAGAATACGATGACAGGAGATGTGATAAGCATGGGAGGAGGTCGAGGAAGAATGTGACTTAGCGTTCTCAACAGGATGTTTATGCTATCATCTATTGTTGGCACAATAACTGTGGCAGATGACTCGTGTACGTGGTGCAAGTGACCTTCAACGCCTTCTTTTTACTCCGCCGGATCATTGAACGCGCCGGGCTGGATGCCACAATCAATCAACCATTTCCGTAAAAAGAGAAGATAATCAGTAAGAAACGAAGGACGAGAAGAACAGGCAATGGGTCCGGCCAGTGTGAAAGAGCACAAAAAAACCGCGGGCAGCGAAAATAGAACGTCCTCTCTATAAGCATGACGAACAAAATTATAATTTGAATAGCCCTTCTAAGGAGTCGTTCAACTTTGGTTTTCTTACTTAGACCATTACCCGGTGTATCAAGGTATGATGCCCCTGATCGTGGCAATATGCTGTCTGTGCTGGGCTCCATCCATTTAGGTTTTGGCACTAGATAAGACTCCTAAGAGATACGAAAAGGTCAAACGCAAATATAGCGAAGAGAGCTCTCACAAAAATACATTTTCGGTGGTGATAACTTTAAGAAAATGTGCACTCATACGCATCAAACGCCGTTCGATGTATTGATAAACCGGGAAAAGTCAATCACCTCGATTCTAACCCTAATTCTTAATTTAGAGCCCACCAAAAATAAAATCCAGACAGGCATGGTGGGCTGTTTTGCCAATCCTATCGCCACTGGCGGTTGTCTTGACCCATTTCTTCGGTGTGTACATCATAATGAATTTATATGTTAGCCGTCGGGATATGTTGCTAACCGCTTTAGGTCCGACCAGGGGAAAGCCGGGTGTTCTATTTGTTGCCGTAGGAAGCCAGAAATAATCATCAATCATCATGCTGCAAAAGTTCATCGCGTCCGTGTGGCGGTAAGAAAGGATGCAAGATGAAAAGATGCGGGGACGACCTTCTATTAGACACGGAAAAGGGTGAAATTAACTTAGCTTTTTCCGGCATAGAAATGCGAATTAGTTTTTGCTTTATTAACATGCGGCCAGGATGATCTCCGACCAAATACATGTATGTGCCATACAAGGTAGGGAATCAGAAAAACAGTTTAGGTACAACTGGCGATCGTGGTATGAAGTCCCCAATTTAGACTGATTTAGATTTATCAGTGTACCACCAGGGTGAACGAGATTATACGCGTCATCTCAAAAATGAATTGTTGTTGGCACAAATATCAGTCGTAAGCGCCTAGCTCAAGAATGAGCTGCGCATTATGAAGTCAAAGAAGGGCACTCACGTTCACCGAGTTAAATCCGCTCCAGTAGGTACAAATTATGACCTTGAAGTACGGGTATGACGTCGTTATCTTACACGCCATGCATATATTGGGTGAAAGAGTAATTTGGTCACTGCATTTTCGAGACATCCTTGTTTGGATGCCGGTCGATTTGTTCGCTGTCGGTACATCATTGGCCATCACATCTGCACTTCACACACTCCGGAGGGGTATGTCGATAGAATAACTGCAAAAACAGATATATTTTCGCGTTAGTTTGTGACTCATCAGGTAGTTTTTGTTACACTGATGTATATTATTAGCAGCTTTTTTCAAGCGGGAAGACCATAAGGAACCAGAGGCTTCTTACCTCTGGATGAATCGCGAGATGTGATGTTTGCTCATGCCGCGCAGCCTGCGCTTCCCTTTCCAGTGGAGACTCGCAGAACCTCCAATGGAAGGGGGTACATCCCTTCAGACTCCATTTGCCCAGCCTGTAAAGTTTGGCACAGGTTCGCCTATCAAAGAAAATCAAAATCCGGTGAATCCAGTTTTACTTTCGTGCGAGTCGACCAATGGTTAAACATTATGGGCAAGGCAAACAAACACATGAAACTAATGCAGGATGATTCGAAGATAAATTGGTGTGTTCAATATGGTCCGAAGCCAATGTAGGGAAAAGTGAACGGATTATGCATCGACCGTGATCTTCGCATGCAGCCATCTTCAAGATGTTGAATGGCGAAAGATTGTTCGGGGTTACTGCGCAGAATTGAAGTTACAAGAAGAATGCGACGATGGAAACTTCATAGTACAAGATGGCTTGCCCGTTGAAGTCAGAGCCAAGGAGTGGATACTCAGCGCGATATCGTGGATAGGGAAGATGTCAAGGAGAAGGTCCAATATGTTGAAAGCGAAGGTGCTGACACTGGGAGGTGCACTGGTGGTGAGACCCATGCCACTGACACCTGCGAAGACAGCAGGAAATGCATACGAGTCAGACGGGGGACAGGTTTGCGAGTGGGAGTGGTGTTTGGAGAGGAGGGGTTGAGCGGGGAGGAGATGCGGGGAGTCGAGTCTGAGGAAGACGAGTTGGGAGACTTGAACGGACTCGTGGGCTTGGAGGACATCGTCGTGGTCGCGAGTGAAGAGACACGAGGGAAGAGAAAAGGCGACAGGGTATATAAGAGAGAACTGAATGACTGTCACTTTGAACTGCAATCCAAACAGCTCTCCAAGCCTACACTCGCGAATCCCCGCCCTCGCCGCCTCTACTATCGTTGGACACCGGATGCAACCAGTAAGAGATATGCACTTGGGCCTCCAGAGGCTCAACGATCACTGTACAGGTAGCTAGAAAATTGTCAGATGTAGAATATAGTATAGAGAATATAATTGTGAAAGAATTTAGTGAATAGCTTGTCTGTAGCAACAACGACAGACCTGACACTATGCTCTTGAACTCCAGAAGTGTGAATTTTGAGGGAAAGATGGCTCTCTTGCTCCTCGTCCACTCCAAATCCCTCACTGTCCACCCCACACACACCCCAATCTAAAACCTGCCAAGCCCCATTATATACCCAGCGCTATTCCCAAGCACCTTCGCTGGGCTCCCTCAGTCACTTCCGTCATACCATTCCCACCGCTGCCGCACGTACAAGTGCCCTCGCTACTTTACTCACAGCGCCCGACTCTGTGCTCCCACTACCACTTTAGGTATGATTTGCAAGTCACCATAGCCCGGTCCCTCCACCTCAATCTGCACGAGAAACCATATATTCAAAATTTCTCAGACTTCAGTCACAGAAAGCATATTGCCAACGATCTGGTTCGAGATAATAGCATCAATGTGAGTCGTATCATAACATAACAGTACTATTTGTTTCCCCTCAGCTCATGATGTCACACCCTGGTCACCTACTGCCCAATAACACACGTCATTTTAGCTGTCGCTTGATCTCGTCGTCGTCAGTTCACACAATAATCGTAGGGCACAGGCTGACAGCCTTTTCGTTATACACTGCAGAAATAAAATTCAAAGGTAAAGACGAACTATGAATGCACAACTAATTATCACATAGCGCAGCCTATTCTCGCTACGACGACAGAAAGAAATTTACAGCAAGATAATGGTAAAGGCGAACTATAAATGTACAAGTATATAGTCACCCATCACAGCGGATTAACCTTAACAACGCCATTACACGTCACTTCTTCCTTACAATAAGTACATGTAAACTTGGTGCCCACCTACGTTCTGGACAGTGGTCGGTAGAGCCCAACTACAAAAACCGTATACAAAATCAAAATGCCCGGTGTGCCTGTATACCATCTGTAGGCTATCTAGATGCGCGAGCTAGACCTGACGCTTCCCTTTTCCTGCGTTCTTGAACCTATGAGATTGACCTTTTGTGTGGAAGAAATCTATCTAAGGGGCAAAGAATAACAGTGCATATGCATTGTGCACATCTAACAGATTCTTCGCAGTCTCCCTATGAATGCTTTCCAGGGCATCATCAAGTTTGATGGTCGTAATTGATTCCTCCGCTGTCCAATAGCTTTCTTGCAGGTGAGACGCAAATTGGCGAAGAAATTTACTAACGGGCTCGCATGTCTTCGCGACCATCTTGCATTCATCCCTCCATGAGAATTGGGTGAAGAAATCCAGACGCGAGGTCTGGCCAAGAACACCGGGGAAGATTGCTTGAAGTGTGTTCCACTGGTTAACCGAGTCAACAGTGGGGTGGTTCTATTAAGAACAAAGCTTGAAGGAAGTGTCTAGCCACTTGCTGAGAGCAATCAGGGACTGGAACTAGAGTCCAATGTGAGTAACTATATTTTTAGAGAGTATGACAGGTATACAGTACCTAGAGTCCAATGTGAGTAACTAGAGAATAGGAAGCATTGGACTCTGCAGTACTGTCCGAAGTTTTGTAAACAAAGGTAAACAAAGCAGCCACAAAGGGGAAATAATAGAAAACACAATCAATAGTGAATGATAGAAGAATAGATAGAGAAAGGAATGAAAATATATAGGTAGCACAAAGGTGCAGAATCACCAAAACTAACACTCCCCCCTGATGCTGCACCTCCCAAGCATCAGCTCCCCCCTGATCTAATAAGTCCCATTATCTTCCTGAACACTTCCACTTTAGGCTTGGCAAGAGCCTTGGTCAACAAGTCTGCAGGCATTTCAGCAGTGGGAACAAAGATAGGAGCAATCTGCCCAGAGTCAACAACATCTCTCAACCAATGCCATCGCAGATCAAGGTGTTTCATCCGACCATGGTGCTCAGGGTTCTTGGATACAGAGATGGCAGATTGGTTGTCAATATGAAGGGTGGAAGGAGAGGTGATAGGATAGCCCATTTCCTTTAACAAATTTCGCATCCAGCAAATCTCTTTGCCAGCCTCAACAGCAGCAATGTATTCTGCTTCAGTGGTGGACAGAGCAACAATGTTCTGAAGCTTGGAGCTCCAGGAGATAGCACCAGATCCCATCTTGACAATATAGGCACCAGTAGAATGACCAGAGTCCTTGTCACCACCATGATCAGCATCAGAGAAAGTGGTGAAGAGTTCAGTGGAATTAGGATCAGGACCAAGGACAAGGGAATGATCAAGGGTGCCTTGCAAGTAGCGGAACAAGTGCTTGACAGCGCTCCAGTGAGTAAGACCAGGATTAGAGTTATATCTGGCAAGGACTCCAACAGTGTAGGCAATGTCAGGACGAGTGGTAGTGGCCAGATACATCAGAGCACCAACAGCAGCAAGGTAGGGAATGTCCTTCATCAAAGCAGCATCACTGGATGTTTTGGGAGACATGTCCTTGGTGAGGCGCAAACCAGGATCCATGGGAGTGGACACAGGCTTGCAGTCCTTCATGCCAAAGCGCTCCAGAATGTCCAGGGTTTACTGATGTTGGTAGAGGGAGATGGTGCGATTACTTAGGTCTCTAGTGATGGAAATGCCAAGTAGGTAAGAAGTAGGGCCAAGATCACGAAGCTTAAAGTGCAGGGAGAGGTCCTTGACAGCTTGGTCAAGTGCAGAAGTAGAAGTGGATGCCAGTGTCATGTCATCAACAAAGACAGGCAGGATAATGCGCACATCAGCTCTGTTAAAGACATAGATGGCAGAGTCTGAATAAGTACACTTGAATCCGAGTTTTTCAAGCACAGTGTGCATCTTCTGGTTCCACATTCTGCCTCCCTGCTTTGTCCCATAGATGGCCTTGTCCAACTGGCAAACAAGATTGCGAGGACCCTGATGGAATCCCTCTGGCTGATGCATGTAGACCTTGACATCCATGACTCCATTCAGGAATGCATGGAAAATGTCAATGGAGCGCAAATGGAGGTTGTGGATGGCTGCAATGGCAAGGACAACTCTGATGGATGATATGCGGACAGTAGGTGCAAATATTTCGAGGAAATCAAAGCCAGGGCGCTGGTTATAACCTTTGGCCACATATCTGGCCTTGTAGCGCTCAACAGTGCCATCTGAGTTGCGCTTGATCTTGAAGACCCACTTGCCACCAATAGCCTTGACTCCAGGAGGTAGTTCCACTAGTGACCAAGTACCATTGTGCTCATGAGCTTGAAGCTCTTCCATGGCTGCCTCTCTCCATTTATCTGCATCAGGACGCTTCATTGCATCTGCAAACGACCTAGGCTCAGCAGAGTCTCCAAAGTGTGCTACTTCATCATCAACTGCATCAGAATCACTGTCATCACTCTCAATGGCAGGAGTAGGTTGTCTGTGTTGAAGCCATCATGGTCTAGGTGGTCTCCTAGCCCTTACAGGGCGTCTCAGTGCAATAGGCAAGTCAGGAAAAGGTGAGCGATGAGGAGGGTGATTTGGAAGCTCAGGAGGTTGATTCACAGGTGGTTTTGCATCAAGGTCCAAATGAGGCCCATTGTCAGGCAATGGCTGAGGCTGGTGGGCCCATATCTCCCCCTGGACCTGGTGCAGGGACATCCTCAATCAGGCCCAATGGCATGGATAGTGAAGGTGGAGTGGGAGGTGGAGGCGGGACATTGTTAGAAGGCCTCTTCAAGCCAGGGAAGTAGCGCTCATCAAAATCAGCTCTCTCAGAGATAACAGTGCGCTTGGTGGTAGGATTGTAGAATTTCCATCCCTTGTACCCCTCAGGGTAACCAATGAACACACATTTCTCCATATGAGAGCCAAAAACGCCTCTTTTGTCCTTTTGCACATGCACATAGGCAGTGCAGCCCCAAACGCGAAGGTGAGACATGTCAGGCTTGTGTCCATACCACAACTCAAATGGAGTGGCATGGGCCACTGCATCAGTGGGACACCTGTTCCAGACATGCACCAAAGCGGACAGACATTCACCCCAGAAGCTGTTAGGCAATGCAGACTCTGATAACATGGCAGTGATACGCTCAGTCAGAAGTCTGTTTGCTCGCTCTGCCACACCATTCTGCTGAGGACGATTCCTGGTGGTATGCTGTCTGACAATCCCATGGTCATCTGCAAATTGCTCAAATTCCTTGGACATGTACTCTCCCCCTTTGTCATCGCGCAGAGCCTTGATTTTACACTCCAATTGAGTCTCAGCTAAGCCTTGAATCTCTTGAAAGCATCAAAGACATCTGACTTGGCCTTGAGAGGCACAACAACACGGAATCGACTGTGATCGTCAATGAAGGTGACCCAGTAGCGATAACCAGAGAATGTGGGGGAAGAGACTTAGTGTACATCAGAATGGATGAGGTCCAAAGGATGAGCAGAGCGAGTATCAGATGAGGGAAATGGATTGGCATGCATCTTGCCAGACAAGCACGGTTCACAGACAGGATCAGGAGCAGCCTTGGATTCCAGTGTAAGCCCAGTGACCAGATCTCTCTGTATCAGTCTCTTGACATCAGCATGATGGTGGTGAGCCAATCTGCGATGCCAGAGCATCAAATCAAGTGGTATAGTCGCAGTAAAATGTCCCAATTCAACACAAGCAGCAGTAGATCCATCAAGGAATGCTGCATTGTTGTCATTGATAGTTGCAGTGAACAAGAGAGTGTTGTCACGCATAAAGGACATGGAATGAGACGAAATAGTGACATTGAAACCACTTTGACGAGTTAAATACAAGACTGAGAGGAGATTATTTCGAAGATCTGGTACATGGAGCACTCTAGAGAATTCCACAGCCATAGCCACTTTGCCATTCATCACAGGATTAAACACCACAGTACCAACACCAGCTGAATAGACAACAGTGTGATCAGCCAGCTTGATTGGCACACGATATGGGGTATAGTGGTGCATCCAATGACAATGAGGTGTCATATGAGAAGTGGCGCCTGTGTCTGCATTCCAATCAATGTCAGCATCAAGTTGGAGAGGGCAATTAGGATCAGAGGGATGAATGGAACGAAGACTTGCATTCCCAGCTGATTCAGTGACCACAGTAGATGAATTGGCATTGTTGGGCGAAGATTTGGGCTGCTGAGAGGTATTCTGAGAGTTGCTGGAGCCTGCCTGAGCCTTATTGCCACGCTTGTAGCGATTCTTAGCACCCTCCACTGCCTGTTGGCGACTAGCAATGTATCTGTGGCATTTGTCTTGGGTATGACCAAGTAAACCACAGAAATCACACTGAACGCGAGTGGAGGTGGTGGATTGGTTGCAATGATGGCAGTTAGGATGGGTGCAGGTGCTATTGGCAGTGGTAGACGAAGAATGCAAGGCAGAATCGACTTCAGCACGACGACGGCGATTGACCTCTTCAGCAAGGAAAGCATCCCTGAGCTGGGTCTTGTCCAAGGTGCCCAGAAGTAGTAGAGATGAAGTGAAGTGGGAATATTGATCAGGAAGCGCCCTAATCATGGCCATGCATGTCAATTCATCGTCCAATTCAGACAATGAGAAGCCAGTAGGACGAAGATTTTGAATCTGATGCATGCCTTCGTCAATTCTGGTCATGAGAGACTGCAGGGACTCGTCCTCCTTCTTTCTGATAGAGAAGAAGTTGTCATAGGCATTAAATCTCGTCCCAGGCTTCTTAGAGACGTGCACAATTGCCAGTTTCTCCCAGATCTTGACAGGATCATCAATGATGCCATCAAGATGGATGCGCTGCTCTTTGGTGACATTGAGGTATAATGCACCAGCAGCCTTTTCAGCTCTCAACTCCCATTTCTCTATGGCTTCAGCGTCAGTCCCAGGACACTTTTCAGCGCCAGAGACGAGCCTCCACAGTCCCTTGGTCATCAACCAAGCTTGCATTTCACCACTCCACTGGGGGTAGTTAGTGCCAGACAAGGGATGGAACTTGGGATCAGAGTCAGACATGATGGGTGTTGTATAAGACAATAGAGCAATGATAAATGATGTAGGAGACGGCTATAGGCGATGGAATAGTGGCAAAGACAATGGGCAACAGTAGGAGGTGAGCAGATAAGATGGTGAGGCGGTAGAGAGAGGATATGGAGAGGGTCAGAAAGCGCAAGGATAGGTCCAAATAGCGTCCAAAAAGCGTCCAAAAGCGATCCAGGAGGGTGCTAAGGCTTCCTAGTGCTGCTACAGGGTTACACCTGTGTTCCCCTTTCAATTCCACACTGATATTAACAGAGAAATCGCCTCGAGACAGTGTTGGTTAATAGGGCTTGTATATGAGTCAACAAAGTGACTTAAGCTCCCCAAACACCGCAGACTGAGAGAGGCTCTAGGCAACAGCAAACTGAGGCAATGCAGGCGAGCTTCACAGTCTATAGGCTTGTTCTATCTGATAATGGACAGAGTAGAGAAGATTGGAGCTTTATGCACACACCAGATATGCCAAAAAGCGAAAAATAGGGCAAAAAGTCGAAATTGATGCAGAGACAGATAAGATGGATGGATTGCCACCAAATCAGAGGTATAGGGAACATTTTTATAGAGTAATAGATGGCCCAAATATCACAAGAAGTGAAGCACAGGATGTGGAGATATGCAATAGGGGTCCAATAGGGGTGAAAGTGCCAAAAATGCGAACTTCACAGAGGATGATGGAGTGGATGGATTGCCCCCAAATTGAGGGTGTAAAGTGCAATAGTATAGGGTAGTAGATGGCTCAAATAGGGCCAAGATCCGAGCACAGGATGTGGAGATATGGAATAGGGGGCCAAAAGGTGATCAAATGATGATGAAGGCTCACAGAAAGATCCAGCTCAAATCCAACCGCTCTGACAGGTCTTCTAGGGTTATTTAGGCCGTAGAAGACGATGGTAGAAGTTACAGGACGATCGGATAAGGATTGGGTGAGATATGGTGCAGATAAGACCAAAAAAGCGTCCGAAATGGGGGTAACTTGCAACAAGGAGTTGTTGTTGGAGATCAAGATGAGATCAGAGTAATCTGAGGTGATGGATGAGATAATAAGAGTCCCAGAAGACCATGGTTATGATGGATAAGCAGTAGGACACTTGGATGGTGAGATATGAGGTCAGGAAGATGGCTAGAGCACAGGGCTCATAACCTATTAAGAACAAAGCTTGAAGGAAGTGTCTAGCCACTTGCTGAGAGCAATCAGGGACTGGAACTAGAGTCCAATGTGAGTAACTATATTATTAGAGAGTATGACAGGTATACAGTACCTAGAGTCCAATGTGAGTAACTAGAGAATAGGAAGCATTGGACTCTGCAGTACTGTCCGAAGTTTTGTAAACAAAGGTAAACAAAGCAGCCACAAAGGGGAAATAATAGAAAACACAATCAATAGTGAATGATAGAAGAATAGATAGAGAAAGGAATGAAAATATATAGGTAGCACAAAGGTGCAGAATCACCAAAACTAACAGGTTCTGGTCAGTATAATAAAAGAGGACCCATATCAAGATCCACCACACCGATTCAATGTCATGCAACCCATTCATCCAAAAAGGAGGAGGGCGAAGAGGCTTTTCACTGTAGCCCTGTGTTATAAACAGGTAACTCTTAGCATCTACTTCCACCGCCATGAAATGGGGAGTGCCCTGCCAATCGGCAATCAGTGGATGAAATCAATGTTATTGTCGGATTAATCTCACCGTTCGCACATCATGAGATTTATTGGAATGAATACATCTTGCATATTCGAGATTGGCGAGTTTGCCAGTGCCCTGATTGCCATCGGTGATCCATAATGCATTGCCAATGCTGACATCACGATGCACCCAGCCCACTTTATGCAGGTAATATAGGGCTGATTCTGGCGTGAGCAAGTGAGTGCAAGAAAGAACAGAGGAGTTGGTTACCTTTAAGCGTGTCTTTCAAACAACAGATGATATTTGCTAGACTGGTCATATCCTTAAGGGCAACACCCACATCCTCAAAGACAGTGCGAGAGTGAATTCTGCGTGGGATGGGACTATCATCACTTAGCGCAGGGACACATGATACGTGTCCTTCGCTGGGTAAATGCTGTTGTGAGGAGAGGGCCACACTGCCATCAACGGTTAACCACTCAAAACTGCAGCTGGCCCCACCCTCCGTGGGATCGAAGGTTGAATCACAGATATCACCAATTAAAACATCTTCGTAGGCTAGAACTTTCAAGAAATGTTTCTCCGCTTCTGCTGCTTCATGTCCAAACTGTTCCCAAATAGCCAGCAGAATCTGCTCTAACATGGCGCCCTCTGCGTCACGGTTGCTTTCTCTCCACGAGTCTTTTGAAGCAACCTTTCTAGTAATGTCATCGCGTGCCTCATATGTTCCACTGCTAGCCTTATAGTCAGCGCTATAAGTCGTTATTGGCCGTGTTGTGGTAAACTTCATAAACTGATCCTTGTGATGAAGAGCAAACGCGTAATAAATTTTATCCCAGATCGACATGCGCTCAATAGTGGGATCCCATCCAAGACCCACGTCAGTGACAGATCCAAATGAGTAAAAAAGGGAGATGATGTTGTCGAAGTCCTAAGAATTAACCACAGTGAGTGCCAAGACATACACTATAATACACCAACATACACTGAGGAAGTCAATAGGCTCAGTAACCGCGAGAAAAGCACAATTGCTCAACCACAGTCTCAGGTCCGTGTTCTCAATCGTGATGCCATATGCAAAACGACGACATGGGTCCTCTCACATTATGGTATGGAGGCTCCAGATTATCTCCTGTTCGTTCTAAGAAAAATGTTGGCGAATTGGTGTGGAAAAGAATACTTCTGACTTACATCCCTGATGTCCCCTGGATCTAGTCTCTTCTTGAACTCGGCGGGTATAGCAATGTCAAACCAGTGGACCTTGTCCTCCACGGGCAGCTTGGCTGTTTTTGTTTTGATTAACTTAAGGTACCCATCGGGACGGGAGGTATTTTTCCGATCTGGGTTTGGCGTGGTATATCCGTTGTTGTGATAGCGTACTAGATGATTCGAAGTTTCACTCAAGATCCTATTGATGATATCACCTAGAGGACAAAATACGACTTCTTCGCACTGTTTAGACTTGGCAGGTTCAATGTCAAAGCTCTTCCATTGTTGAGCTGCTACTCCATCAATAACAACTCCATTTCGAATGATAATTCCGTCTTCCTCCAATTTTGCACGTACTGGAGCGACTTCTCTTTGAGGAACACTTGGATTGAGACGATCGAATGGAAGCTTGAGGACCTTTTTCAAGTTGCAGAGGACAGCAGTGCGAGACAAGTTAAGGTCTCCCGTACGGTAATTGCTCTGCATAGTATGGCGGGCTACAATGGAATTTGTGGGGATGTCTTGGGATCAACTGTCGTGGTGGACGTTGGACTTGTCCTTCCAGCAATGGGTAATCCAGCTTTACCTTGTTGCCAGCACTATCATGATACTGTCGTTCCTAGTCAGTTTGTATTTGAGATACAATTTGGACGTCACAAAAGTAACAAAAAGTAACACTAAGGTCACATATGCCAGATTGAAGCAGAAATTTCTACGACCATAATTGACGTTCCCATCACGTTGTGTGACTGGACGGCTTTCGCCGAGAAATTTCAAGAAATTTTCGGATAGCCTACACATAGCATGCCTACTGTTGCCAAGGTGTATCAGCTGCATTTTCCACATTCGGTGTTTGTGGCTGAACGTCCAAATAGTAATCAATGTACGGTGGTCGTTTGGTTATGGTTGGAATGCCGGCGACGGCATCTGATTTCTTTCAATGACCGACAATTTCGATAGGTCTCTTTGAATATTCCTAAGGGCATGACCATATCTGTAAAAATGAATGTAGTATATTGTGCTTATTCTCATATGTGGTAGCCTGTATTTGTTATATTTACATTGAAAAAACAGAAAAGTAATCAACGAGCAGGAAACAAGAGATGATAATGCCAGTGCAAAAGCGAGAATACTTGGATGAATCAGTAAACACGGATAATATAATAACTTACAATATGTGACTGCCCGTAAAATGTGGGTGGCAACTGTGGCAACAAGTGATAAAGTCATAAAACAAGAATAAAATAAAAACTCACATTTTATCCACGGCACCAGGGTTGCTATACCGTTATATGACCACCAAATTAGCAACATTGTATGGCCAGATTATCAGAGCTGAATGACAGGGATTGGTTAGTTGACTATAGTGCGACAGCCATAGAAATTTTAGTACTGCACAGTTATGCGGATCTGTGGCCATGTTATTAGTTACAGGTCACACCATCACACACGACAAGGTTTTTTCCTTACTACCGCTCACTGGGTGCTCAATCTCGTCCAACGCTGCAGCCACTATTCTGGATCTATTCCATCACAACGCTCACTCCACAGATCAGCTAAAACCCAATTTATTTTTACTCTGGCCACTTGAGGTTGACTGAGCATGCAAAGTAGGTAAGCGTGACTTTCTGCTTACCTAATATTTCCAGCTGACATATGCCTTGTACCCCCCTGCACTCAATCCCTGGCCTGCCTGCGAACTTTGCCGTACAAGTTTTATGTAGTAACTATTTTCCTTTCCATATTTGTGACATTTTGTCTTCACCAATTTTCCCTGTACTTGCAAAGCACATTTTATAATAATATTGATACTCACAACAATCACGGTCACACTGCATGGGCAAATTAGAGGTATAAAAGCAGCTGTTGAATATACTAAGATGCCGTGTTCCGCAGTGTTTAAAATTCCAACCGTAACCAAATGACCACTGTATCAACAAAATGCGCATACAGCTACTGAGTCATTTTCCAGTCGTTGTCACAATCCTCATGGTCTCAGCTCAAATTTGCGTATACATGTGCACTGTGCATGTTTTTTTTTTGCTATATAAGCTTGTTTCCAGTAAGCATAAATCAAAGTATTTTCCTGCTGACAATGGATGTAGACGCCAATTTGGATGCTTCTGAAGATGTTTTGCTGGAGGTTCAAAAACCAACAATTGGCCAAAATCAGTACAAGAACTGTCGTATGTATATTGCTTTTATGATGATGAAAGGTTATTTAGTCTCCTGACCTTTATTCCAGGGCCAAAGGATGACCAGCATGTAAATGCTATCCTTACACAATATCACCATGATAACATCACTGGCCGAAAGCTCATCAGCAAACTCCTGGCATCTGAGCATGGTATATCTACGAGGTACGTTGGATTGATTACTCTGTTCCTCTATCTTACTTGTTAATTCTTCAGTGAAGCTACTGTAGCTCGCCGGAGGTTGCAGCTTGGACTTCTTGGCAGTACCAATACAACAAAGGCATTAACAGTTTTGCAAAAACGGCAACTTGTGATGGATCAACTTGCTCAGGATCCTCTTAATTGTTGTGGTCCTTGTATTATTTGTGAAGCCATTGTTGCTGAGACAGGTTATTTATTAATAAGGTAGGGTTTACTGTTTTACTTTCATAGTGTAATGTGTAGCCAGTAACAACTAAAACTAATTTCTAGAGATGGTTTTGCTCAGCGTGAGCCCAAGAGCAAAAAAATAGGTCGGCAGGCATTAGTCTCTTTAGGGCCACATCACCAGTGGAGTTCGGATGGACACGACAAACTCACATTAATCAGGTTTCCTATTTAGGGTGTTTGTGATTAGTGGAGTGGGAAATGGCTTGGTCTCTGGGTAGTACCCAACAACCGCTTGAAGACTACTATTGGGTATCCTGTACCTTTCTCTTGTGTATGAATTAGAAGGTATGATTACAGTTATATAGCTCATTCACTTAGTTGTTAACCCCCAAATAGGTATGCCTCTTCAAAATACAACAGATTGTGGGAGTGTAACTACAGAAATGTATGGGTACACTAATGCTTTGCGGCATGATCACATTATATCTGTACCAATTTGTTGATAATCATTATTTTACAGAGAGTACTTCTCACCCCACCTTTCACCTGATGAGCTTCCTGCTCACGGATTCCTGAAAAGTGTCCATAATATTATAATTGAACATGGCTGGCACTTATTGCGGATTCAATGGGGTGATAATGTAAAGGTTTTTGGGAAACAGGTCATGGGATATACAATGAATAATGATCATTAGTACACATTCACTGAACTCTAAAAGTGCAACACTATTAATCCAGTGTTACTTATAGTAATTTAGTACAATGGTTGTGGCTGAGGTTAATCCAGCAAGAACTCAACAACTTGAAGCACCACTTCAATACTCATGTAGTCCGACATGATAAAGACAAGTTACTGCTATCTGGTGTCTCACCAAACATAGTATATGCTTTGTACAAAGATTACAATGCTGAAAATTGCTTACAACCAGTAGATTGTACTATTATCAAAGCATTGATGGAAGAAATAGGTGGTGAAGATTTTAAACATTTTGCAACACTCGAGTACAGCATTCAAGCTCAAGAGGTTTTTAACGGACTTGGCTTTACAGAACTCTCTTTTCAGAATATCTATTACGATAACACATTTTTGGACCTTTAATTTTCATTCTCCTCTTTAACCTTTTACTGTAGTTCTCACACTCCGTGCCATGCAACACTTTCCCTTTTGTTCAAACTCCTCTTTCTCGCACAGCACTGCCTGTATTCTTATTTTAGCTACAAGTCTCTCACGCAGTAGAGCTGGTCACATGGGCTGCGCCCTCTGACATCATCAGCCACTGCCTCTAGTAACTGTATAGTACATACATACAAACAAACCTGTAGTAGTATATAAACCCCAATAGATCAAGGAGACTCCTCAGCGAGTCCTCCTGTTGTATCCTCACAACTAACTTGTTGAAACCTAAAGGGTAACCACTCCCTCATCATTATCTCTATAGTTGGTTCTAGTTGTGTGCCAGAGTAACAAACTCTTGGTTGTTACACTAGGACTCGCTCTTTTTTTACTCTCTTACACGTTGTGCAAATCCGGACCCCAGGGTTAAGGGGATACTATTATTGTTTGGGAATATCCCGCATAGCAGATAGGTGCACTCCTAGTGACGGCCTTGTAGTGCTTTGGGAGAAGGGACAATAATCTTGATACACGGCCCCCAATGTTAAGGGGAGTACTTTAGCTCAGCAATAGTGTGGAACTATTGTTGATTAGAATTTACATACAAAACTTCTCTTTCTCTTTCCTCTGACTAGGTCAGGCACTTGCCTCCTCCAGTCTGGAGAAGGGTTGACAGCTTAACAAGCGGACCACCCCCTGACAACCATTCGGACCAGGGTTTATTATGAATACCTTTTTATATACATTTTCAAATACTATAGTGTGGGTAGTCGGAGATTGAGATCTGCAGGTTAAGGTTTTTACTATACTTCACAAGAGAACAAGTCGATATGTTGTTGCAACCCCAACAAACCGATGTCAATGCTCTGTTGCACAACATGTGTGCACAGATCCTGGCATTGACCACGCAACTCGCAGAGCTGCAGGCGCATCCCCCTGCGGCAACCCCCTCGGTGGAGAAAAAGTTTAATAAGAAAGTCGAAATTGTCGCTGACCCTGGTGCCTTCGAAGGAGACAAAGCACGATTCACCGAATGGTGGATCAAGCTCCAGATTTGGGTCAAGGCAAACTGGGATGCATTTGCCAATGATTTTGAGGTAGCCACTGCAGTGCTATCTCGACTAAAGGGACCTGTGGCGGGTCGATACGCCCAAGTTAGAATGCAGGAGTGCTACACTGTGGGAGTGTGGCCTGTCTGGGATGATCTCAAAATTGAGATCGAAAAATATTTCAAACCACAAGCTGAGCATGACTGGGCACGTCAGCAAATCTGTACCTTCAAGCAAGGAAACATGAGGACGGATGATTTTGTAACCTAGTTCCTGGCCCTCTCTATTCAAGGGGGACTAGGTAATGAACATGCAGTGGAGCTACTGGAACGCAATGTGAACCCCCACATTGCAGAACAGCTTTACCTGCAGGATATGAGGAGTGACAACCTCTCCCAAGCAGTGGAGGAGGTACAAAAAATAGGTAGGGCCATAGAGCTCTACAAAATGCACCAAGGTGGCGGGACCACCACCAAAAACAACTATCCCCAGAGGAGCCCTGGGTCATCAAACCAAAATAAAAATCACTCTCACAGGTTCCAACCCTTTGCGCTGCAACCAGGGCGGGGTGCTCCTATGGATATCGGCGCGGTCCAGGGTGGACAAAGCGCAGATTCACCTGCTTCAGCTGTGGGCAGGAGGGGCACATGGCCCAACAGTGTCCAAATGGAGCGCAGGCCGCTCACCAAAAAAATAACCAAGGGCGCCAGGCGCGCCAATTAGAAGCGGAAAAACCAGATGATCTGCTCAATTCTTTGGCCGGTCGTTCTTATGACGAGATCCAGGCTTTCTTTTACAACCAGCAGGTTGCTGAAATGAAGGCCCAGGGAAAATAATTCGGAGCGTAGGTCACTTGGGTGCCTTCACTCCCCCTAACAATGAAGTAAACCACAACAAGGTGGCCCCTGCTCTGGGGTGTTGCACGAGCAATAAAGGAAAGAAGGGGATGGCTCCCCAATTTGTAAATAAATTTTTGAATTTGTTATCTGAAGTATGTACTTGTACGCAAAGCTGCAACTGTGGATTTGTCTTGGACCTTCCTGACGATATAGCTGCTTTGAGCGCTGATTCAGTGGGTTAAGATGATGAAGGAGTTAACACTGAGAATATCTATAATACCACCCCTGTACCAGCGTCTCCTTTGGAGTGTGGCCCTGGCGAGACAAACACTAGGGTGCTTAATTCTGGTAAATAGAAAGTAGAAAAAAATGTTTCTTTCAATACTTCTTCTTTGGAGCCACTTTCCAACAAAATCCCAAGGCGTGTGTTGATGCGCACATATTTGTTCCAAAAGGAGATCTGTTTAGACGTTGTTGTGGAAAACCTTGCCCGGGGCATAGTATACCCAACCAGCGCACTGCTTGATTCAGGCACTAACAGAATCTTCATAGATCAGGTCTGGGTGGAGCAAATTGGACTCCCCCTTGTAAAATTAGATGTATCTATTCCCGTTTATAACATTGATGGTATGCTTAATGCGGGTGGCTGTATCATGCACAAATGTTCTTTTGTTGTCGAGTACCAAGGACACAGAGAACAAGTCACCGCAGAAGCTATCAACTAGGGAAGATTGATTTAATCTTGGGCTGGACCTGGCTATTTAAACACAATCAGATCAACTGGCAGACAGGGGTTGTCACATTGTCACATTGTCCTCAGGAGTATAAAAATTTGGGTAAGCCAAGTCGCATCCGTCAAACTGAGCGTCTTGAAAAAATAAACACTGGTCACATTTATGAGCTCAGATCTTTAGAAAAGATTGATGATGATGATGACAAGGTAAAACCCGAGGAAGAGATTAAGAGGCTGGTACCTCCAGAGTACCATGACTTCTGGAAAGTCTTTTCAAAACATAAGCCGGAACGCTTCCCATAGGCTAAGCCTTGGGACCATGCTATAGATTTGAAAGACACTTTCAAACCGAGAAAAGGACACATGATACCACTCTCTGCTCCAGAAAAAGATGAGGCATCAAGTTTCATAGATGAACAGCTTAGGAAGGGTTACATCAGACCTTCCAAAAGCCCTATGATGTCCCCGGTGTTCTTCATTCCTAAAAAGGATGGTAAAAAGCGACTAATTATGGACTATCGTTACTTGAATGAGTACACGGTTAAAAACGCATATCCGCTGCCTTTGATCAGTCAGCTAGTAGACAAATTGGCTGGTGCCAAGATCTTAACCAAGATGGATCTTAGATGGGGGTACAATAATGTATGCATCAAAGAAGAGGATGCTTGGAAGGCTGCATTCACGTGCCACCGAGGATCCTTTGAGCCCCTCGTTATGTTCTTTGGGTTGACCAATTCACTGGCAACCTTCCAGAGCATGATGAACAAGATCTTTGCGGATAAGGAAAACTGTGTTGTTATTTACATTGACAATTTATTAATATTTACGAAGTCGGACAATGAGGCTGAGCATGACAGGATTGTGCAAGAAGTCCTTCAACGCTTACAGGAACAGGACCTATTCATAAAAATGTAACTTTAAAGTGAAGGAAGTAGACTTCCTCGGTATGATAATTGGCCAGAACGGAATCAGGATGGACCCTGAGAAAGTTCAAGCTATATTGGATTGGCCAGAACCTACTCGCATCAAAGGAGTTAGGGCCTTCCTTGGCTTAGGGATTTTCTACCGAAGATTTGTTGAAAACTTTGCAAAGATAATAAGACCATTGAATGACCTCACTAAAAAGGATATCGTTTGGCACTGGGGCGCCAAGGAACAAGAAGCTTTTGATAAGCTTAAACAGGCATTTACAACAGCGCCCATACTGGCATTTCCAGAATTAGACAAAGAGTTCCGGCTAGAAACCAACTCTTCTGATTTTGCTACTGGGGCTGTGTTATCAATTAAATGCCCTGATGATCTTTGGAAGCCTTGTGCCTATTTATTGCATAGTTTGTCACCTACAGAGTGCAACTATCAAATTTACGACAAAGAGATGCTGGCCATCATTAGAGCTTTAGAGCACTGGCAGCACTACTTAGAAGGTGCTTGGCACTAATTCGAAATTTGGACTGATCATAAAAATCTGGAGTATTTTATGACAGCCCAAGATGGAGTATTTTATGACAGCCCGAGACTTGAACTGGAGACAGGCCCGCTACGCAGTGTACTTGCCTAGGTTTAATTACAAATTAATTCATAAGCCTGGAAGTTCTATGGGGCAAGCGGACACTTTGTCCAGAAGAGAGGATCATGCCCACGGCATCAAAGATGACAACAAAGGTGTAACCCTGATAGACCAATCAAGGGTTGCCAATGTTAGAATTGGGCAGGATTCCGATCTTCTGGAAGTCTTCAAGAAAGACATCTCCTCAGAAGAGAAGGCGCACCTTGACAGCAATGAAAACTATTTATGGGAAGACAGGCTCTTCCATTTTGAAAACAAAATCTATGTGCCTGAGTCCGCAAGGATCAGGCAATAGACAGACATCACGACACTCCAGTGGCTGGGCACCCTGGGTGGCAATGAACCATGGAGTTGATCTCCAGAAACTACATGTGGCCTGGCATGGTCAAAGACGTACAGGAATACGTAAAATCCTATCTGAGATGTGCCATGGCAAAAAACTCTCATCAACCGCTGGGCAGTAAGCTTATGCCAAATCCGATACCAGCTGGTCCCTGGCAGGATATATTGGTTGACTTCACAATGGATCTGCCTGAGTCAAACGGGTATGATTCTGTAATGGTGGTAGTAGATTGCTTCTCCAAAGAAGTAGTATTTATCCCCACCAACACAACCATTACCGCTGCTGGTACGGCAGACTTACTTAAAGATTTTGTATGGTCTATCCATGGGTTACCAGAAATGGTTATCTCTGATAGAGGACCACAATTTGTTAGCGAATTTACAAAAGAACTATGCCGGATGCTGGGCATCAAACCTAAATTATCAACGGTGTTCCATCTGCAAACTGATGGACA